ATTTATGGTCTGGTTTTCAATAAAACACGATAACAAAAGAGTCTGCTGGTACCTGTGAGTTTTTCTGCTGGAATCACTGCTGTGTTCTGTCGCATTGGCCTGGTCTTCGTACAGCAGCGCCACGGTGGAGTCAATAGCTGAAATATCCTCAACTACCCTTTTCATAACTGCTCTAACCGTCCTCGGCTCGATGGTATGCAACCAATCGCGCGTTTCGACGCTCTTTCGCAACATCTAAAACAAGTTCGGGACCCAGCATGAGTTTTGCGTCGAGCCGAATTGTGGGGGAACCAACAATTCATCAGAATTGGGGGCTTCGAAATAAAAACCTAACGAGAAATTTTTGCGCTGTGAAATGTATGAGTACACCAATCAGAAAGTATTTTATTCAAACAGCATGGAAACCATACTCCAGTAAACAAATTTGTGAGATTATTCTTACACAGTATACCAGGGTGGTCCCAGAAGTACTTGGCCAGACCTAGAGATGGCGGTTGTTGTTTGGAAAATATCGCTGCATCAGAAAGTACACATTCTGTAAAGCATATGTTTCAAGTTTGAAGACGCTGTGTTGTTTAGTATTTGTTTGGCAGCCATCAATAGCGAACGATTTCAGTGAATTTGTGAAAATGGAGAAAATTGGTCATCGTCATGATTGTTTGATTGATTTATTGATAATATGTCTATTGTTTAAGAATAGAATTCTTGTTACAAACACAGGGCATAGTCAAAATATTCATGTAGGTCATAATAGGCTTCATCACTTGATAGTTCTGTACATTTCTTTCTGAATATAATAAAAGTATTTTCTTTGATCCCATTGGGAAGTTTATTGTATAAGTATCCTGATTTCATCATATATCAACGGGTTTTGAACCAAACATGTTTTTGGAATTGTAGATTCAGTTCATTAGACCGCCTTGTGTGGTAAGTAGCTGTAGCTGTAGATTCATAGTCCTCCGTATTTTTATGTACAATCGATACGGTTCCCAATATAAATATTGAAATTACTGTAAGGATTCTATGTTCTCCAAAAAGGGGTTTACATGAATGTGTATTGTTTACTGTGAAAATGATGACTTGCCATATGTACAATTTTGTACCTAACTGGTCAATAAAGAATTTGAATTTATTACGATGTATGTAGCATGCATTACGATATATGTAGCATGTATTACGATGTCTGTAGCATGTATTACGATATATGTAGCATCTATACGATATATATAGCATATATACGATATATGTAGCATATATACAAAATCTGTAGCATGTATCACAATATATCTGGCATATAATACAATGAATCTGCAAAGTATTACGATATATTACGATATTTGTAGCATGTATACGATAGGGTAGCATGCATAATGATATATGTAGCATATTACATACTTCGTAATATATGCTACATATATACATACATATATACATACTACATACTTCGTAATGTATGTAATATATCTGTAGCATGTATTACAATGAGTGGTAGCATGAAATATGATATCTACAGCATGTATTATGATGTCTGTGGCATGTATTATCATATATGTAGTATATATATACACGATATATGTAGCATTACCACGATATATGTAGTATATATACTATATATGTAGCATTACTACAATATATGTAGTATATATACGATATATGTAGTATATATACGATATATGTAGCATATATACGAAATATGTAGCATGTATTACAATATATCTGGCATATAATAAAATAAATCTACAAAGTATTACGATATATTACGATATTTGTAGCATGAATATGAATAGCATATATTACGAAGTATGTAGTATATCTGTAGCATGAATTACGATATCTGTAGCATGTATACGGAATGTCTAGCCTGTATTATATCTGCAGCTTGTATTACAATGTCTGTAGCATGTATACGAAATGTGTAGCATGTAGTATGATATATGTAGCTTGTATTATATCTGTAGCATATATAAGATATCTGTAGGATGTATACGGTATCTGTAGGACGTGTACAATATATGTAGCATATATACGATATATGTAGCATGTATTACGATATATGTAGCATGAATTACGATATTTTTAGCATGTATTACGATATATTTAACATGTATACGATATATATAGCATATATACGATATCTCTAGCATATATTACAATATATGTGGCAATTATTACAATATATGTAGCATGTATACAATAAGTTTAGCAAGTACTACGTTATCTGTAGCATGTATCCCACTTGCGGTACGGAGTTTGTTTCTGGGGAAGCAGCTGTCAAAACTTAATGAGTCAAGTTTTCACAATTCAAAAACGAACAGTGAGATTCATTACCAGAGCTGAAGTCCAAGATTCCTGTAAGCTTTTTTTTTAACTCATCACATCTTAACAGTCTACTGCCTCTTTATTTATGGCTCAGTGTTCAAAGATTTTCCAATGATGAAGAAGTGGTGTCGGCAGTTAATGGCTACTTTGAGGATTTCTTATTAAAATAACAGTAGTGAACTTATTAAATGTCACTGGGAAAATGTATAGAGCTGCAAGGAGATTATTTTGAGAAATATATACATTTTTTTCAAAATTCTTGTGTTTTCTTTATAGTGGCAGGTACTTCAAGAACCACCCACATACACTTACCTGGGAACAGTTCAAGCCTTGTATCCGAACGTAATAATTCAACAACTCTTGTGCTGACTCCTGCATCGTGTTATTTATCTCAGTCTCATTGGTCAGAGCAGCATTCTGCTTGGAATTTATGTGAAACACCTCATCAGTCTGAGAGAGCTGCAAAGCCATAACAATATCACCACAACAGCTAAATCGTTTCAAGAGAATTTGAATTATCAAAGCATGAATCAACAGCCCCGAAACTGATCCTCGAGGGATACATCCAACGAAAGTCTATTGAACCCACAACGAGACGTACATTTGAACTACTCACCAAAAAATGAACACTGCCATTTCGAAAGTCTAAGCATAGTTTTGACAGGAGTAGAAGTAGAGTGGGAGGCACTTTGGGATCCGCTGTTCCTTTAGCACAAAAACTTCTTGCGGTGGCGGTGAAATGGTGCATGAAGCAGACTATGAGCCCTTCCCTGACATTATCGATGCAGAAACTGTCTCGGAATTGAGGTTTTTGGGCAAAGTGGATATCGGGTTGGATGAAGACCTTTGAAAAATGTGGAACAATACAATGTAAAATTTGAAATATGTAGTGGAGAATCGATCCAGTTTCTGGTACATTTTTTTTTTCGATACTCACAACCAAATCCTGCAGCACTCCTTTGATTTTTTCGACGATCGTCATTATTAGCGAACTGAGAAGTTCGTTGAGATTCTTCGAGGAATCATCTTGAGTGATGAGCTTGGGGGTGGTCAGTGTTTGCCTCACTTTGGTTAACGTATCTGCGAAATGCATCTTCAGAATCTGAAGATGTGCTTTGCACTGCTTCCTTCCTGCGTGTATTACGATATCTGTAGCAATACTAAAAACACAGAGTTGAGATTACACAACAATGCATTATTTGGATTATCTGGCAGCTTTCGATGTGAAACTGTGTTGAAAAATTTTCCTTATTAGCGATGGAAAAATATAATTCCCGAAGAAAAACTCAAAATTTGTGTTTTGTTCAAATCTAGCATATATTACAATATATGTAGCAAGTATCACGATATCTGTAGCATGTATACAATAAGTTTATCAAGTACTACGATATCTGTAGTATGTTTTACGTCTGTAGCATACAATATGATATCTGTAACATATATTTCGACGTATGTATTATGATATCTCTAGCATAAAATACGATGTCTGTAGCATGTAGCATATATACGATATATGTAGCATATATACGATATATGTAGCATATATACAATATATGTGGCATTTATACGAAATCTGTAGCATGTATTACAATATATCTGGCATATAATACAATAAATCTACTACGATATTTGTAGCATGTATACGATAAGATAGCATGCATAAAGATATCTATAGCATGAATTACAATATCTGTAGCATGTATATGGAATGTGTAGCATGTACTATATCTGTAGATTGTAATACGATGTCTGTAGCATGTATTAGGATAACTCTAGCTGTTACATATATCACGATGTGTTTATTACGATATCTGTAGCATATATTACGATATTCGTGGCATGTATACAAAATGTGTAGCATGTAGTATAATATATGTAAATTGTATTATATTTGTAGCATATATAAGATATCTGTAGCATGTATACGGTATGTGTAGGACGTGTATACTATATCTGTAGCATGTATACAATATCTGTAGCATGTATTAGATATCTGTAGCAATCCTAAAAACCAAGAGCCTATATTAGGTATCAAATTTTTATGATATATTTTTTTTTATTTGAAACAAGTAGATAGTACGTTTCTGAAAAAATAAAAACCTCAAAATATCTGAAAATTTGAATTTCTGTTCAACACCTCTTTCAAAGTATATATTTATATATCGCTAAAGACTACATTTCAAATTGTCAAATTGTTAAAATTTGCTAAACACCAATATCAAAATACATTTAGAAGTCTCCATCAACAGAAAACTTACTTTGCAAAATCCACATCTTTGCACAAAGTATTGGATTCTATTCTCCTGTAAAACCTGTCTAGAGCTTGTACTAGTGTGCTTGTGTCTCCTACATCCTGCTCAGAGTCAACTTTGGTCTGAACAAGATCAAAATACTTGGTCATGTTCTGTTTCACAAAAGAATCTAACTCCACGGCTGCGAAATTCTCAAAAATGTCACTGAAATTTGAATAAATACTATTATTATTATTATCTGAGGACCAACAATGCTCACCTGTTTTCCACGTGCTCAGTATACACCCTGTTGATGAACATATCATGGAACGAAGCCACGACAAGACACAAATCGCTCAAAAACCCTGAGCACCCCAAATCGACAAACTCAATAATATCCCGCTGCTCGATCTGGTCCTTCAACATTACCAGCTGCTCACCCAGACGTTTTTCTGCGCAAGACAAGAATTCTGTGCAGAGCTCCTTAGCAGGTTCATCGAGTTGGAGCAAGAGATCGACTGATTCGGCCAACTCCTTGGCAGATGCATTCGAATTTGAGAACTGAATACGTAGTTCAGCCTTCAGTTCGATTAAGATGGACTCGCAGTCGCTTTTGATGCCTTGGAACGAAGGCATGTCTCCGTATTGTTGTAGAACACGTTGAGCGTGTAGATAATCTTGGGTAGCCTGAAATTTGAAATTAGGAAGGCTTGTATTTGTTTCATTTTCATTTCATTGAGTTTCTTTGTAGATAGATTCGGCTCAGTACGGGAAAAATCCCCAGGCATGGTCCTGATACTCCTTTTATTAACTTTCTTGAGGACCATGACTTTAATAATCACATATATTAGGAAAAGAACTGGACCCAGAACCAAGCCCTGTGGAACCCCAAATTTGAGTTTCTTCTACTTGAATTTTTGTTCCAGCTATTTTGAAAAAAGTGTATTGGATGAAAGAAAAATCATTTAGAATAGTAAATTATTACCTGCAAATAATTTTTCTCTTCCATCCTAGCCTTCAGAGTGGTAGGTAATTTGAAGAGAAACTGCAACTTCTGAAGCAGAGTATGTATTCCGGACAGTTTGCTGATTTTCTCTCTTGTTCCCTGTAAAGTGGAATTGATCTGATCTGAGAAAGAAGTAATCGAAGCCATATTGGAAGCCAGTAGATCCATTTCCGTTTCCATTTTCTTGAAATCATTCTTCATCTACAACAAGAAATCAGCTTTGGTTACGCCAATACAATACTTTTTCATCCTGAATACTTTTTTTATCGTATCTGTTGCAGAGATGAATTTATTGTAGTTTTCATATACTAAGGTTTGCATATCGGAATGAAGAGTTTGGGTGTCTTTGATAACATCATTTTCGTGGTCCATGATTTGTTTTAGAGTATAATCCTGAAAAGAAGATGTTAAGTAAAATGTATATATTTGAGGGTTCCTAATCAGACTTTGAATAGTTTGTCTAGATACATATTTGGATTAAAGTTGGGTCCATTTATGTCCAGAGGATTTGGCTTTTTCTCAGCCATATTCAATAATTGACAATTTTACTATACCACAGAATAAGTTTAATGTTCGAGTTTTGTTGCCTGTCTGTGTACAATATTTTAAAATTGCTGCTTTTTTTATTGTATTGAAAATTACAAAATATTCAAAATCAAAACAAAGTTGTTGTCACTGTCAACTTTGACGTTAGGTGTCATTTATGGGATGGTGAGTGATAAGTTGGTACGTTCCAAAAAAGAAGTTTGAAAAATAACAACTTCCTAAACGCTACTTATCAGAATTCTTTGATTCTTTGTTTTCTTTGAGGTATACATCGCATCTTAGTGATAATGGTTCTCGCGAATATTTTACACATACTTTGCTGAGCACTTACATCTGAAACCAATAGAGAAAAAATTGTTGTCAGATGTCAAACATGCAATAATAAAAACACGCTGAGATTATTTCGAAAATATCTTCCACAACGTCTCCAAACAACGAATCGTATCGTTCATAAAAGCCTTCCACATTTTCAGTTGTTCACTCAATGAAGAGGAAATTCGTACCTTGCGTAATAATCTTTGCATCCCAGAGGGTCACTTCGAATCGACTTTACTGAATCCATTATATATGCCATTCCTATCCTCCTCCGAGGACTGGCTTGAATTTTAGTGCATGATATGTGCATCATTGTGCAGAAACCAAGTACCGAGTAACTAGTGTGTCTAGTTCCCCGAATAGATATTCATATTACAGACTGGATTTTCCTTCTTTTCCAGTTTTTCCAGTTGTCCAGATTTATTTTCCCGTGTCCCCATTTGATTTCTGACAAAGCAGTAAACTATTGACCGGAAAGCCCCAGTAGTTTAGGCCACTACATGAAGAAAAATAAGAAGATTAATGGAACATAATGAAATGTTGCACGTCAATTTGTCAATTTTGGGTTTTGGGTAGAGCAGTGGGTTATATTTACTAATATTTAATACTATCGCACTTTCCCAATATACAACTATAAACATTCTTTGCTTTTGATTATAACTACTCGATCAGCAACATATTGTATAGACGTTGGATTCATATACTTCAATATGTATGAACAAGATGATGGTAAGTCCATTCTTTAGAAAATAATTAATTCAGATATATCCTACATTTTCCGCTCGTACACCTCCTAATCTATCAAACTCTTCTAGATCAATTCGAAGATGAAGACTCCGAAGAAATCAGTGCAGAACTTTGGCAAGAAGCCTGTTGGATTGTCATCAACGCCTATTTTGATGAAAAGGGCTTGGTACGTCAACAACTCGACAGTTTCGATGAATTCATACAAATGTCCGTCCAGAGAATAGTCGAAGACTCCCCTCAAATCGACCTCCAGGCAGAGGCCCAGCACATAGCAGGAGAAATTGAAAACCCACCCAGATTTTTGTTGAAGTTTGAACAGATTTACCTGTCAAAGCCCACTCATTGGGAGAAAGATGGGGCCCCCTCTCCTATGATGCCTAACGAGGCCCGACTGAGGAATCTCACATATTCAGCTCCGCTGTACGTCGATATAACCAAGACTATTGTTAAGGACGGGGAGGATCCTATCGAAACCCAGCATCAAAAGACGTTCATTGGTAAAATCCCGATTATGTTGCGTTCAACATACTGCTTGCTCAGTGGCTTGACAGATCGAGATCTGACGGAGTTGAACGAGTGTCCTCTAGACCCGGGGGGATATTTCATTATAAACGGATCAGAAAAGGTACTGATTGCCCAAGAAAAGATGGCGACGAATACCGTGTATGTATTTTCCATGAAAGACGGCAAGTATGCTTACAAATCAGAAATCCGGTCTTGCTTGGAACACAGTTCGAGACCTACTTCTACTTTATGGGTCAACATGATGGCCAGAGGGGGCCAAGCTATCAAAAAGGCACATGAATTAAACTCAACTTCATTTTGTTCAAACTTGCATTTGCTGTAATAACCCAATTTAAGGAACATTCCCCATTTTGTAACACAGGCGGAAGAACCTCAGTCGATAGCTATTTGAGCAGATTTGGATTTAGTTCGGTAAACTATAATTACTATTATTATTTTACATTCCAACTTTTTCTTTTTTTGTCTCTACTTCCGTGGTTGTGACACTTTGTATAACATTATGTAATTGCTTTCAATGGAAATAAAATGTCTGAAAAATCTTGATCAGACCAATATAAGATTAAGTTTTAGGGTTTAGTGATATAAATTATTATTATTTTCAGTGGAATTGATCATTCACTCATACAGAGACGATTACAGAATGTTTTATTTATTAGAAACCAAAGAAATTCAACGTAATAGCAAACTTTCCCCCCCTTTTTTTGCTAGATGATATTTCCTTTTGTCTCTTCTCCTTGAAAGTTAATTTTTTTTTTCAGTTACATGGTGCATAGACTGCTCTTGGCGGCGTTAGGTCGTAGGGAACTGGACGACAGAGATCACTACGGTAACAAAAGATTGGATTTGGCCGGACCGTTATTGGCTTTCCTTTTCAGAGGGTAATGTATTATCATATTTTACATTCATGGTTTCGTGAACTGTATTTTTTTTCTCAGTTTGTTCAAGAATTTAATGAAGGAAGTCCGAATGTATGCCCAGAAGTTCATCGATAAAGGAAAAGACTTCAATTTGGATCTGGCTATAAAGACAAAATTGATAACGGACGGTCTCAGATATTCACTTGCCACAGGGAATTGGGGTGACCAAAAGAAGGCTCATCAAGCTAGAGCAGGAGTATCTCAGGTATCATTTTTTTCCAATTGCCCTATTTTAGTTTGTCTCTTTAATCTCTATATGTAACTCCATACATTCCATATTGACATATCATTAATGAACGTAGGGGGAAGAATAACAGAAAACTTAAAGAAATACCAATAACCGTGTTAGGAATCACACGTTAAAAGGTAAGACCTCGTTAGTCCTCAGCTCGCACAAGTTTCTCAACTTCTGAGAGTTGTCGTTCGTATGGGAGCGACAGCTGATTAACGGAAAAACAGACAGATTTTAAACAGACAGACAGACAGTAATTACTCTCAAAAACCGTTACTGCTCAATCTCTGAAAAACTGTGAAAAAATATGCGTTCCGATTCCAATCCATTAGAAAACCTTCCAAGTAACGGAATTATAGAGCCACTTTTTCTGTATGACACTGATTTGAGGAAAGTTAAAGAAAATGTCAAGTCTATACAAAACAAAACATTGGAAATCGTCGATATATAATTCCGAATTTTCGAAAGTATTCCAGTCTTCGCACTGAAAAATCATGGCCACTCTAAATTAAATATCCTGCAAAGGCATGTTACCCGATTTTCTAGAAAGATCAGTCCTAATTTCACTTCATAAAGTAGCTACTCAGCACTAGGAAATTAGAGGAGTTGCCCTTGAAAGGTGTTATTCCTAGCTATCAGGTCGAAGCCATACAGTAAAAGCAACAATACTCTCTAAAAGCGTACATAAAGATTGGCGTACCTCAAGGCTCAACACTGGGCCTGCTCTTCTTTTTGGTGTATATCACTGATTTGCTGAATGTCAAAATATCTGAAAATTTCACACTGTATGCCAATGACACTACCATATTGTGGCATAGTTCAAATTTAGAATCCTTGAATTAATCAATGGTACTGACGTACTTGGAAAATTGTGTAACTCAAATAAGCTTTCTTTCAATGTCCACGTCAGTTGCACAACACCCTGTGGGGCATGATTTGCCCTGCAGAAACGCCAGAGGGAGCTGCCGTCGGTCTCGTCAAGAATCTCGCCCTGATGGCTTACATCTCTGTCGGATCCCAACCGTCCCCCATTTTGGAGTTCTTGGAGGAATGGTCGATGGAGAACTTGGAAGAAATAGCTCCTTCAGCCATCGCAAATGCTACGAAGATCTTCGTTAACGGATGTTGGGTGAGTATTCACTTTCTATAAATTTTTCGCAAGTTTTTCATTATTATTTTTTTAATAATGAAAACATCTATCTTTCAAGTGCCTTACAAGTGTTTTTTTGACAGAGACGGGGTAGATAGTAAAATATAATGAATAATCAGGCAAATATAATGAATACTGAAGTACCACAAGGTCCAAGTTTTGGACCAGATGTTTCGAGAAATATAACAAAGTTTTTTTTTTGCTGATGACTTAATGCTGATCTCTCAGATACTTGTACAGTGCTTTAAGATAATGATTTGAAGTTTAGTGTTACGGAATCCAAGTTTATGTTATCAGGAAAAAAATGCAAGTGAAGATGACATCGTTCGTACCACTTCTCTTTTGTTCAATAATGTTTTATAAGTGAGTTGTGACTAGTCGAAGGCTGTATTTGGATCACTAGCAATGTCATCAAAGGATAAATGATTTCCTATTACTAATCTTCTATTCGGGACTTTGAATATTACTGGAGCTTTTTCCCAACACCAAACCGTTATTTTAACACCTCGACACGTGTTTCGATCACCAAGTGATCATCTTCAAGAGGAAGATCAGACTGAAAAAAAAAACTCCAATAATATTCATTACCACACCAAAGATTCCAAACAGTGCATCACAAGTATTCGGGACTTTCTTAAGTATCTTTTGGCATTAGGTTGGAATCCATAGAGACCCGGAACAGCTTATGGCGACCCTCCGTAAACTTCGACGTCAGATGGACATCATAGTCTCTGAGGTATCGATGATAAGAGACATCCGTGACAGAGAAATCAGGATCTACACAGACGCCGGAAGAATTTGTAGGCCTCTGCTGATTGTAGAGAACGGTCAGCTGTTGCTAAAAAAGAGACACGTCGACATGTTGAAAGAAAGGGAATACAATAACTACGGTTGGCAGGTGTTGGTTGCTTCTGGTGAGTTATTTTTCACTGCCTATTGAAGGAATGTGTAAGCAGTTGATTTCAACTTTAGGTGTGGTGGAATACATCGACACTCTTGAAGAAGAAACTGTCATGATTGCAATGAATCCTGAGGATCTTCGGCAGGACAAAGAATATGCTTATTGTACGACCTACACCCACTGCGAAATCCACCCGGCCATGATCTTGGGCGTTTGCGCGTCTATTATACCTTTCCCCGATCATAACCAGAGCCCAAGGAACACCTACCAGAGCGCTATGGGTAAGCAAGCTATGGGAGTCTACATTACGAATTTCCACGTGCGGATGGACACCCTGGCTCACGTGCTATACTACCCGCACAAGCCTCTGGTCACTACCAGGTCTATGGAGTATCTGCGGTTCAGAGAGTTACCAGCCGGGATCAACAGTATAGTTGCTATTGCTTGTTATACTGGTTATAATCAAGAAGATTCTGTTATTCTGAACGCGTCTGCTGTGGAAAGAGGATTTTTCCGGTAAGTACATAAATGGTGTCAGCACATAAATGGTGTCAGGTGTGGGGTACATTAAAAAAATTCAATTGATACTTGATGGCATTATATAATTTTTGATGGCGAATATTGTTTGTAGATCCGTGTTTTACCGTTCCTATAAAGACGCCGAATCGAAGCGAATTGGCGACCAGGAGGAACAGTTCGAGAAGCCAACCAGGCAAACCTGTCAAGGAATGAGGAACGCCCTTTACGACAAACTGGATGATGATGGTATAATTTCCCCCGGTATTCGTGTGTCAGGAGACGATGTGATCATCGGGAAGACCATGACTTTACCAGAAAACGACGATGAAGTAGGTTTTTAATTTTACGATGAGAGCTGTATGAAACGAATTACTTTTTTGTTTCAGTTGGACGGAACCACTAAACGGTACACTAAAAGAGACGCTTCGACGTTCCTGCGTAACAGCGAAACTGGTTCAGTGGATCAGGTGATGTTGACGTTGAACTCTGAAGGGTACAAGTTTTGTAAAATCAGGGTGAGGTCCGTACGTATTCCGCAAATTGGAGACAAGTTTGCTTCCAGACACGGGCAGAAGGGTACTTGCGGAATCCAGTATCGTCAAGAGGTATGTTTGGAGGAGTGTTGTCGAGACATTTTTGGATCTCACTTTTATTCGCGGAGTATTGATTAGTAGCAAATTTTGGCGTCTGTGAATTCTATTGAAGTTATTTTTTCCAGGACATGATCTTCAGTGCCGAGGGCATCACCCCCGACATCATCATCAACCCCCACGCCATCCCCTCCCGTATGACAATTGGTCACTTGATCGAGTGCATTCAGGGCAAGGTGTCCTCTAACAAGGGTGAAATCGGCGATGCCACTCCCTTCAACGACGCCGTGAATGTGCAGAAAATCTCCACCCTCCTCCAAGAGTATGGCTACCAACTTAGAGGCAATGAAGTCATGTACAATGGCCACACGGGCCGCAAAATCAATGCGCAGATTTTCTTGGGGCCCACCTACTACCAGCGTCTGAAGCACATGGTGGACGATAAGATCCACTCTAGAGCCCGTGGCCCCGTGCAAATCCTAGTTAGACAGCCTATGGAGGGGCGTGCTAGGGACGGGGGGTTGCGTTTCGGAGAGATGGAGCGTGATTGCCAGATTTCTCACGGCGCTGCACAATTCTTGAGGGAGAGGCTCTTCGAGGTCTCAGACCCCTACAGAATACACGTGTGCAACTTCTGCGGGCTGATAGCCATCGCGAATATGAGGAATAACACTTTCGAGTGCAAGGGCTGCAAAAACAAGACGCAGATTTCGCAGGTCAGGCTACCGTATGCGGCCAAGTTGCTCTTCCAGGAGCTGATGTCGATGAATATCGCCCCAAGGCTGATGGTTTTGTAAGGTTCTGAGTGGTTGGGGTTAGGTATTGTTTTTGTATGACATGCTAAGATAATAAAGTATTTTAAGTATTTTGTGTTTTTTTTTATGAAGTTTGCACGTGAAATCGTTCAGAACGGACCATCAAAAACTTACCGCATTGACGCATTCAAAAGGTTATAAAATGATTTTAAATCACTTCGCCGCAGTTCTTCTGAAGGAATTTATGTTAATTATTTGAAATAATAGGACATGTTTCCATTTGAAATCGAAATGACATTCAGCACGTCTAGTCTGACCTTTCGATTGATTCACAAATCTTTTATAACTCGAAGCAAGGTTACAAAATAATAATTGTAGATTTTTTATTCCATTCAAAGCGAAAAAATCTGGATTAGTAGGCCGTGGTCGAATAGAACCTGAAGTACTAAACGTTTCGTCTGCTAGTACGACAGACATCGTCAGTGGTATATGCGTGGGCGAAGATTATATCTAGGTCTCAGCAACGACTAATATGAAAATTGCCTTGATATCAAAGGACCACGCCGGGTTCAGAGAAAAATATAGTTTGAGTGAAAATATCGGACACCCGACGCTTCTTCCGATTGTTCTGTGCCTCGGACTGTATCAAATGTGACACAGAACAGTAAATTATCCTCCTTCTGTGATCAGAATTTCCTAAACGGTTTGCCGTGTCATTTGCATCGTTCAACCAATGAGAAACTCAGCCTGATAAAATGGCGGTCTATCTGTGCGAGAGAAGCATTTAAATTTTCCCGCGTTCGAGAGTGGCGATTCTGATTGTTTACTCTTCTGTAAAATTTATTTGTTTCAAAATTTCCTTCCCGAATTTGGTTAGGTTCGAAACCGTTCTACCGGCTTCAATGGACTTCCCAAGAATTCTCTACAGGTTTCGAGATAGTTCTTAGTGGCAGAGCGATTCAATAAGGCGATAGACATTTGAATAATAATTAATAAGTTAAAATGTTCGGTTGTATTCACAGTGAAATGAAGTTTAGTTCCATTATTGTACAGTGTAGTCAATTATTTTTCAACTCAGGGGGAATATGTCACACTATATATGTTTCAAGAAAGTTTTTACCTAGCTCAATCACTCAAACAATAAAACGAAAAAATATTCCTAAACATCTATTTGTACAATCGAGTTAAAGCCAAAATAAATAATGTTCTGAGGTACTATTTACAAATATGAACAACTCGTATCAACATAGTAAATACGAAGACAGTAAAGTCATGAGTATCATCAGTTTTGAATCAGTCAGCAACATGTTTCCATTCGATCCGAAGAAAAAACTGCTCTTCCTTTTACCTGAAAGTTGAAAATTGAAATTGTTTCAGAATTATGAATTTCACTCGTTTATTATGAATGGGAAATTAACAAAGTATAATAATATGGTTGATAATATAATTCTCTCCTGCCGACCTCACATTAGCAGTGCGATATATTGTACCATTTACTTTAAAGCCAATATTTATTCTTGAACTGGAAAAATTGAGGTAATAAATACCGTACCTTGAGGCAAGATTATCCTGTATTTCCAAATTTATTAGCCGTGGTCTGCTGTTTTAACACCTGACGTTTCGTCTGCTACTGGAGTGCCGTTATACATGTCTTATTGATGTTTAAGCTATGTTCCTTGATGTTGAAATTATTCTTATGTATTTTCATGACCTCTCTAAATAGCCTCGGATAGTACCCTATAGTTTTATCAATAACTTGCGTGGCATGGCTGCCTTATGAGAGAGCGTGTCGAACTTATCTGTTTGGCCATAGCAGCAACTTCTTTTATGCTCAGTCAAGGCGTTTCAACACTTCTTTTCGTGGTTACGATGTAGAACGAACCACAACTATACGGTATTCGGTGTACTACTGGAATCAAATCAGGGGAGTAAACCAGAAAGTATACCGTATAGTTGTGGTTGGTTCTAAATCGGAACTACGAAGAGAAGCATTAAAACGCGCTTGCCTGAGCATAAAGGTAGTTACCGCTGCCGCCAAACAGATAAATCTGTAGTTGCAGAACGTGCTCTCTCAGAAAGCAGCCACGACATTTTTTTCGAACGCACGCAAGCTCTTGATGTAACCAGAGGATATTATTCGACGCTGTTCAGAGTGCCAAGGGTAATAAGACTGATTTCAACCCTAAGAAAGAGAGTTTAAACATCAACAAGACATGGATACCGGTACTTCTTGAAACAAAGATTATCCCACTAATTGAAGAAAGCTCGGGCCAATATCAGGTACAAGAGTAGTAGGTAGTCCGAATCCTAACCCTATTATAGTTACAGACATCCTAGGAACATTTGCGCATCACAGCTAGGTAGATCCATCCCTTCGACCGTTGACGCATCGCCTTTGCTAATGTATGCCGCAGTATCAGACAAAACGTCAGGAATAAAAACCTGAAGACCAGGGCTAATACATTCGGAAACACCGCACAATTTGTTAGACACCGGTTTGAAAGCCTACACATCTTGAGGCAAGATATTTAAAATTTGATGTAAATTCATAATGTTTACTTTTTCATTGTAGATATTTATGAGTTGTTGCCTAGATCTCATGAAATGAAATTGTATTTTCTTGGGTCACTAATAGACGTTAAATCATTTTATCTATTTCTTTTCGAAATGGGTTTTAGAAGATGAACGCATTGTCACTTCTAGGCGATTGATTTTTATTATAAAACAAACTCGAAACTTCAGGTTCGTTGAAACATAAGTGTACTAACTTTTTTCATTCGGGTCTTTTGGCCCACACAGCTTATAAGATATCTTCCTCTTCCTCTTCTCATTGAAATATCCTGGAATATACAAACTTGGTGCATCAAGCCTTCCAACCAACAAAAGACTATTGAAATCCTGTTCTAGTTTTGAGGCAATGGGACCTTTGAAGTGTAGCAATAGTTGAACGCACGCGTCATTGTAAATGTTCTTAGTTTGTCTGCTGTCGACGTTCAGGAACCATTCTGGGATTCCCATGACTTCTCGCACGTCCTCAATAAACTGCGCACTAAAACCCAAAAAATAATATGTCGTATTGTAGAAGTGGAGCACTCGTTAAACTTACACAACAAATCTAGGCGGTCTTTCGATATTGGCATATTTGATGATGTCATAATCAGGTTCTATATTGGCGCAAGCATATCTGTCTCCTTTTCTGTCAGGAGCGAGAATGACGATGGATCTTCCAATAGCGGTTACATCTCCTTCTAAAGGGAAATTGGCATCAGAAAATACCTTCCGCTTGAGACCTATATCTATTGTTCCCAAACGTGCCGACAGATCTCCCACGTGACAGCGCAGAGGATTTTCAGGGCCGCATTCTTGACGATAGAGCTCATCCTACAAAAATCAAGGCGTGAATAACTTTTCAACATTGACCTTCATTCTTAAGACCAAGTACTTACATTCAAAGGATCTGCGAGTTGGGTGAAAAACGGATTCCAAATGTAACCTCCCGCGACACATCTGGTAGCTAAAGTCTTCACTGTTGCATCAACTCCAACAGGGTTAACGTAGATGGCCCAGTTGTGGTCTCTTGTCTGAAAAAATATCAATTGAGATTTTTACTATGAATGTTTACGAAACCGCGACGCCTGTTTCGCTGTACAAAAGCTTCCTCAAGCAGGGTGTCTTGAGAAAGCTAGGTAATGCTCGAGATGACACTTACATTTTCAATGTTGTTTACGTTCTGGAATACATTGATATGGTCCATAAATTTAAAGATCTCAACAAAATACCCGCGACAGATTTCGATTCTTGCACCATCTATCAACATGTGTACAAAGCTGGATCAATCACATTTCTCGCGTCAAAAAACAAAAGCAAAGTGGTTAAAACACTAGGGTTTCTATGCATCTTTGCCATGGTTTTATATAGCATCCTTTTCTGCTACAAGTGAGAAACGAAGACAAAACAGTTTGTGTTTAATCAGGGAGAGAGCTCTTGTTTGGATAGTAGCTTGAACTCGTTATATTGAGTAGAGATAGATAAGATTTGACTCGAGAGTAATTGTTGACGTCTCATAGTTAGGTTAGGTTTGACGAGTTATTTTGAATCCGCAAATTGATGATCCATGTGGAAATAGCCATTGGCCGTACTGTACTGGTGATCTTTGAAAGTTCCACTTACCACATTCCTATCGTTTTTACCGGGATGCCGAAGTTTAACTTCAATGGTTGTATCACTGGCACTGCCATCTTTATGAATGAGTTGCCTCTGGAAATATCAGGAGTTAAATTGAGTTAGTGAGCCATATGAGTAGTAGCTTGATATAGACATATGAGATATTTTTGAAAAAAAATCGATTATTTTCTCGTTTTAATTTTTTTTCAGAAAGATTTGATAATCAATGCGAAGTTAACCCAAATTTTAGTTGATAATTCATTACTTTCTCAGGAAAATTAGATAAACTTGATATATTTTCTACAAGCTTTGTTATACTGACCCATTTGGCATAAAAACTTACCATTTTCATATATCCATAGGCGTGTCCATTAGGATTATGAAAAGAAGCTATCGCTCTTAGTTCTCTAGCTTCAGATGGACTATATCCCCTTTCGATGGTAGAGCAAGCCCATCTACTTGAATCCTAAAAATAAATAATTAATTGTATTGGATAATAAAAGGGTGAAAAATGTTTCGACTTTTAACTTCTCTTTCATATACTATATTGTGTAGCAATCCTGTGAATGATATCTGATTCAATTCCGATAGATATACAAACCTTTTTATGTATAACGATGGACCTTCCCATAATACTCCTTGGTCCAAACAACGTGAGCAAAGAGTCATTGTAGTGCGTTTTGTGAATCGACTGTTTGTACAAATTTCCAAACTTTCCGCTTAGATCTCCCACCTCGTACTGATCAGGAGTGCCTTGGTAAGCTCGGGGGGATGAAGCAGGATCAACGTTCATCGGATTCCAGTGACCGTACAGGGTTGACTGTTCACATGGAAATTGGAGACTTTCTTCTACAGGTGTCTGGATGAAAAAAAATGTCCATGTGACGATATTTACTTCAGTCTTTTCGGTTTGAATGTACTGTTTTCAAATGAAATTTTAGTTTCTTAACATGACAGAGTTATGTTCATTATAAGTTGATTGCTATGAAAAAGATCATAAAAAATGTAACTGTTCAACGTGTAACGTTTTTAAGATTCCACAGACCCTCACATTCAAATATATACTAATAGGAAACGGATTTTATCGGATATTTCTCAACGAAAACATTTTAATACGTACCATATGAATGTGGTACTCCTTGACGTCAACCAATCCTTCAAGACTCACTTCCACATCTGTGATGTCATATTCAGTTTGCTGGAAAAACTCCAGTTTTCCTTTGACCGTTAATTCGTTACCATTTGGAAACCAATCCCTAGCTACTGCCTTTCTTCTGTAAACCCCGCCAATTCTGAAAAATATTGATGTTGGATCTGTTGAGAAGTATAGAACAAAGCATACGTTTGGATATAAAGAACAAGACAGTTCCAAACTTGATCCTTGAGGTACAAAATAACTTACATGGAACAGGCCAATCTTTCTCCTCTCGCTTTAGGGCCATGATCATCGTATACGACAAGAGATTTTCCTAAAACGCTGTAATGCCCGGTGAGCGGCAACATTGGATCGGTCCATAGTTTCCTGGAAATTTTATCGCTGTCCGCTATTCTACCCGATATTTCTAGAGTTCCTTGACGTTTTGATAGATCTCCTAATCTACATAGTCCGATGCTCTCCATGTTGCAGTTGTCATTGAGTGTTTTGTTATCGAAATCCACCTATAATAATAAAAACACGAAATAATATTGATTGTGAAGTCTGAATCTAAAATTGAAATATTTGTCACGGAGCACCTATACGTTCTGTGGTTTTGATGCATAAAATGCTCTACTGAAAACTGATAGTTGATGCAAGATCGATCCATCTTTACTGGTAATTGAACCGACTTCATAACAATCAATGGTGTTCACACATACATTAACGTTAGTCTTAGTAACATTGGTTGTTAGAAATCCTCTTTCAAGATGTCATGTAAACAAAGTCAATGAGAACGAAATATGAAATGCATTACGTATGTTCTGTGATACCATGATTTATCTAATTCACAATAGAGTTCATATATTTCTTTCCACAAAAATTTTGGCAAAATTTGGCCTAAACTCACCTTATACGGGTTATAGACGGGGCCTGAGCTCAAACACCTTCCCGTCCAGTTGTAGAAATCTTTCCCAGGCGGCAGGTCGTGAATCGCCCACCTGTGTTCTGCGCTATTGTTGAGAGCAGCACCGTCAGCGTGGACCAAGTACTCGATTAGTACCGTCGTGTCGGACCACGGTTCGTCCTTGGCTTGCCGCATCAGAAGCCTACCGACGGTCGGGTACCGAAATATGACCTGCGCCGTGAAGATTTGCTTCTGGTACTCGAAGTTCGGTTCATACAGAGTGATTCCACCACAGATCCAGGGTTCCGCGATGATTTCCGAGGTAGGGTACTGCGTATTTCTGAAATCAAGGGATATTGGTTGAAAGCAAAGCCCAAAAACAACTCATTTGTGTTCCAACACTAGATAGCACTGTTTCAATCATCAGAAGTGCTACGCTCAACCACCAATGCTGTACTCAACTGTCCTTAAAGGAAAAGCCTGAGGTCTCACCATTCAGTGGGAGCGTCGTTCATCTTCAATATCCATGGATTGATATTTCTGTCGAACATATAAATAGAGTTTCCGTGAGGTATCTATAAAATTTCATATACAGATATTTTTTTCCTATGTAGCAGCCTATGAAAGCTAGTTAGATAGTTAGGAAAGTATAAGTTAATATTCTCCTCACGGCTCTTGGTTAGAGTCGGTACCCACCGAAAGTTAACTCACTACGTTTTCGTTGGTTTCCGCCACTGAAGATGACTGCTGCAGTTGCAGTTGAAACGTTTGGAGATTATAACCAAAGAATTCCTTCATTTTAGAAAATTCACTTTTTAAATAAACCTCTTCTCAACCTCGTGTCCTTGAGATCAGCTTATTCAAACTTTTTAACTCACATGAAGAGTTAAGTTACACTTTAAGAAGTATTTTGAATGTTTATCTTATCATTCGTTGACATTTTTGATAATTCTGAAGACTATTTCGTCAAGTTGCATTGTATTACCCGTGAAATAAATATAACTGAAATTGCATGCCGTTGTTGCATATTCTTGATAAATGTCATTAAATGATAGTGATCTACAGAAAATAATATTTATTGGAAATATATATCGGAAATGATCAGAAACTGTAGTAGTTACTTCTGAAATTCGTTATTTAACTGAATCTCATTATGTTCCGAGCATGATTGTATATCGAGATAATACAAGAACACAGCTAGATGTTATCTTATCTTCGTCAATGTATTGGTCTCAGCTTCCATGAATCGGTGCTATACGACCAGCTCTCTTAATACTACGATAAATTTGTCCTGGGATTGTAGAAGTCTTGGTTTACACCAAACTGCACCCTTATTGACGCTTATTGCTTGCACGTCTCTTGACGGCGGATATACACAAACGATTGAAACTATCTCCCACATATGTGTATTGTTTGCTTGCACATTCTATGGTGGCGGTAGCTTCCGTTTCTTCGGCGATGAGAACAGCCGCGACACGTCCACCCACCTCGACGAGGAAACGAACAATTCACAGGTAGATGTTAATTTGCTTAGTGAAAAGTATCTTGAATATCTTCACATCGTGACGAGCGACAGCATTTTTGTTTTGGTGATAAAAGGTGTCATCAATAGACGGCTAACAGAATCAAAAAACAATTTCGTAGGTTATGTATCGTGAATTTTTCAAAGGGTTGATCTGTAAAAAATGGATTTTCCTGTGTGAGGATAGTTCTAAATATATTTCCGTTTAGAAGATACGGATTCAATACCATCATACGTTTTCTTAGTGTACAATTCTTGTACGAACTTACTTGTAGATAACAAGCGATCTGTGGACAATTGAAAATCTTCCTTGGAGTGGTAGATAGACGTCCCAATATAGGCCATTAAGTTCTTGACCGCCTTCAACCAACACAGACTGATTGTTTCTTCCCAACAGTTTTCCAGAAAGATCGCCGACAGGATATTGATCTTGGGTTCCAAATCCTATACAAAACAGAAAATAAATTACTAACATACATTTTTCGGAAAGAATTATCGCACTCACCACTAGGGGGGGTTGTATTTATATCAGTATTTGAAGGATTGTAAATGAACTTTGTTGTCAGACAGGAGTTTTCGTTTTTCCCTACAGATTTGGCGGGTTTTATTGGCAGTTCGTGGATTTTATAGCCTGCTACGGTTGAGCTGTAAACTATACGAGTTTCTATGTCACCTCTAGCAGTAGTCAAGTTGAAATTCAGGAACGTCGGTTCAAATCTTGTGTGCTGAGTCATCCTGATGTCCCCTTTGATGCCTCCGGATTGTATGATCACTCTGTAGAAAAATTAGATCGAGATTACGATGGCAGGCGAAAAAAAATATAAGTGAGCGACGTTGGTAGCTCTTGGTTCCTACCGAGCAACGTCTAAATTGGTAACAAATTAACATAAACGACTCTCCTCGATAGAAAGACTTAACAGATTGTCTCTGGTCTGGATTCCTGGCTATACTGGCCTGGAAGGCAATGAAGCTGCTGACTCCCTTGCAAAGGAGGGTGCTACAAGCAGCTTCATCGGACCAAAACCTGTCATTGGCATCGCTTTAGACTTTGCCAAGCAAACATTAAACACCTGGATGGCAAGAAGGTTTATGGGCTTCTGGCAGACTCTTTCAGGATTGGCTCACTCCAAGCTGGATACTAAACAGTTGTTGGACTACAGTAGGGATGAACTACGATGTCTAACAGGCCTTCTTACGGGTCACTATCATTTGAATCATCATATGTAGAGACTTTGATTGTCGGAAGACAGTATGTGTCGCCTCTGTTAGGAAAGTGATGAAACAGCAGAGCATATACTTTGTGCCGGCCCCGCTGGGGAACAAATCAGGTTCTCAGAGTTCGGCAGAGCTGTATTATTAGCCTCTGACCTGAAAGACCACTCACCATACAAACTAATCGGCTTCGTTAAGAAGCTGGGTTTATTTGGCCGCATGTAAATAGGTGTGAGTCACAATAAACCCTCGCGGGTTGTCGAATAGACCCCACTCACTTACCTATGATATCTCAATTTGGCTTGGATACCCGTACTGAAAAAAACTGGAGATATTTATGATATTCAAGTAAATAAACAGCACCACTTCCTCCTATGAATCTAATGCTTTTCTGTTCCGTTCAAGGTCATTTGAGCATTGAGCTATATAAGATCCGAAGTCGAGACTATCCCGGGTGAAGTTGGGCCATAGGGTGAGCCATATGGAATCGGACACAGGGTAAGATCGAGGGGTTCAAAGATGGCGGCGTGACAAAAATGCACTAAGCCGCATCTTCATCATCAATAGGTAGATTTCAACGTGCAGCGTATCAAATGAAAGAGGAACGGATGTTGAATTTATTAACAAAGGAAATCATCAACATTGCGGTATACCTAAAAGAAATAGGAGGGGAAATGTCAAGGAGCGTCTAGGAAAAGTCTTTGTCAATAAATACAACGTCCACTTTCCTTTTATTTGATGTGTTACCGGTCACGATTCACCTATTGATAATTATTCAAATTCAAAATATTTCTGGAATAGCAGAGATGTTGGACTTCTTTTTGGATCAAGAAAAATAGTACAAATATATCCTCAGCAGCTAGAAGATGTTGTTAAGTTGATAATTTTGATATCAGTCATACTATTTTTTATTGAAATTGCAGATGAATACCTCAGAGATGGTTGAAGACTCTACTAAATATTCATGAAGATATACAAAGGCTGATCTGCTGGGTTAATTTGTTGAGCTCGATTAGGTATTACTCAGGCATTTGCGATTCAGTAAAAGCGTCTCCGAAATACCGGAAAACTACACACGTTCTTGACTCATTGTTAATCTTTGACGTTGTTCGTACTATTCTCAAGTAAAATCCATAACAAAAATTTAATAAAACTTTCTGAAAATATCCTATGATCCAAGACTAGCCAAAGCGAAGTGAATTCTCTTTTTTGGCCACCTGGTACTTCGAGAAAGGGACTCACCTAGCATTAACAGGATTTTCGTATCGAATCTTGGCACACCCCAAGAACACATCTTCATGCTTTCGCTCGAACAAAACCAAGTACAGCCTCCTTTGAGGTCCAGCCAAATCGCTGGGGAGAAGAACGAGTTGTTCGTCCCTGAAGAGAGTTTTGAACTTGAACTTGTTATAATCCGTGGACACCTTCACTTTCCCTACCCTAGAGTCAATGTCGCCCACGCCTTTTCCTGGACCCTTGGCATCTGGATCGAATACCAGTTGTAGAATATTGCAGTCATTTCGGTCGTGATCCGATTCCAGAATATCAGTGACGTAGATTTTCCAGAAATGTTCGGTGTACTTGGAAAACTTGGTATGATTTTCTACGTTCCTCACGTGGTATAGATCGGTAGTGATCAGCATGTCGCTGTGGTTGTCTTTCGTGGAGAACCATCTGAAATACACGTTTCCAGCTATTGGAGTGCCAAATCTGGCAACCGCAGTTTTTTCTTTGGTTCTGTCCGCCATGGTTAGAGAAGAGCATATCCTGCTACCGGTGTCCAGGTTTTTGAGCAAGAGGGACTTCCCGTAGAGCCCAAGAGGTCCGTTCATTCTCAACTCTTTGGTGGTGTACTCCGTGGTTTGATTCTCCGGGAGGATCAGGTAGCCGAATGTGTCTTCTAGGTTCACGAGCTCCTTTCCCAGCTTGGAACTTTCGCAACGGTTTTCTATTTCCGTATAATCGACAGGGAATTCGGTGACGTACAATGACCATGCTTGGTTCGGGTATTCTAGGGTTGTCGTTAAGTCCGTTGATATTTTTATCTCGTCTTGGATCTTGGTGAAGTTGATGGTGCCATGGAGACCTTGGCCGGAAATGTAGCTCACCAATTGGAGAGAGGTAACTGAGTTGATACCTGGAACAAAGAAGTTAAAGATAGGTATCATGTGATATTGGGACAGTTGAAATTTTTCAATAACTTGAAACAATAAAATTCAAAGTATTGATACCTAGTTATACTCTTGAGGAGTTTTGATTCAACATACACCATCCTACGCATCACATAGAAGGTCTTTATTTCGGTAAGATATTAGGTAAAATCATTTTTTTATTGTTTCTCGTGTCATTCATTTATTTTCGATATTCGCGTTATGAGGTTTTTGTTGATCCCTGTTGATGTACTGTTCAGTCTAGTTTTCATCAACGGCAGCGCTACTAAGCAAAATAAACCAATGGAACAAGTGAAATAATTGTAAAATTACATGAAATATAAGTAAGACATTTCTCATCAGTGACTGATCTAGTAGACCATGGCCCCAATAGCCTAATATATTGACTAACTTTTTCAGAAAATGTCATGACTTTGTATGTGCATTATGTGACAGTTAAAATTTCTACATCTTTTATCTTCTCATCTGCGCTGTCGAATTCCAGACTGCCGCTGATATTAGAGTAACAAATGAAATCTAACGGGTATAATTTCATTTTCAATTCATTGATCTATTTGGAGAAGTTGTTTCTGTCTTTCACTCGAAATACACTACTTCTGTCTCTTATTGATTGTAAAGAATGAAATTTTAGTCTTGTTAATGAAATGCAAATTGAAATTTGTTCTAAACCTCGGTTGGAAAAGTGAATGCTCTACTTTGCCAGATGTCTTCAAAATCAGCAGAAATAAAAACACAGCGGAACTTTCATTACATTTTGATTGACAAAGAGAAAGCATGCTATTACCATTAATGAATACGTCAAGTAGATTCGGTGTTACTATGTAGATCCAGGAAAAAACAAATATTTGTACAAAATTGTTTTTATCGTGGTTTTCAATAATAATAGTAACAATAATTTATTGTCATCATTTACATAAAACTCGTGACTAACAGGTTGTATAATCAACAGTGTGTATAAATGAAATATTGAACTGACAAAAGTTAATTGTAGAAATTGTAAAAGCAAAGATACTCACTCACTGCATAGCAACATTTTTCAAGTAATATTTTCGGTTTGTATTTATTGTATGTTTTGTTATTCAAGGATCTTCAACGACTGAGTGATTTATTTTACAGTTCAATGCCAATATATGTATACATACAGTGTGATGTACAGATAAGAAACTGTCTCATAGAGATGAAATGCAGCGATAAAACGGAGGTGGCAAGTTCTTATGGCATTTTATGATTATGATGATTGTTATTTCTTCAGCACCACGTTTGTTTTTTTTTTCTGTGGATTTTCATCATATTTTGCGTAAAAATGGAGTTAAGTGCTCAAAAACACTTGAAATATTGACAATGGCATACGGTGATTGTACTTTAAGTCAGAAAAATGTTCACAAGTGAAAATGTTGACAAATTGAAAAAAATTGTTATGAAGAACCGTCGAAAAACTACTAGAGAAGTTGTTGAGGATGTCGGCATATCGGTTGGCTCATGCTATGCAAGTTTTTCTGTAGGCATGAAGCTGTGGTAGCAAAGTTCATTCGAAAATTGCTGATTTTTCACCAAAAAAACCGTCGCATTAGCATCACTCAGAAATTGTTGAATGAAGTCAACGGCAATCCAGATTTGCTTAAAAAGGTCATAACTGGTGACGAACTATGGGCATATGGTTATGACATCGAAACCAAAGTCCGATTGTGAGAAGTAATACGGAGGAAACGTCTGGTATTCATGCCTCAGCCACCGTATTCCCCAGATTTGGCACCTTGCGACTTTTTCCTATTCCCAGGATTGAAAAGATCCACGAAAGGACGGCGTTTTGCGACGATTAAGAAGACATACCAAAAAGTACAAATCAAAACTACTTCGAGGGGGCCTACTTTGAAGGGGAAGACATAATAATTGATGAATAAATGAATATTTTTGAGAAAAATGAAAATTCACCTTATATTGTGAACAGAGTAGTACCTACATCCAAAGTTCTTGGATCATCACTGTCGACTATCTACATTTTTGACGACATTTATTGCAGAGCAATTCTTTCAAGAACCAAATATTCAGATACAAATTGTGCCACATTTTTTAAAATTGACAGCAAAAGGTTCTCTCAATATAATCTTTGAAAGTTCCTCAAGCTTGTACGATGAAATTTCATCTTCCATTCTCTGAAACAAATTTGCCATTTTTCTTGAAAATCGAGGTAATTCTATTATTCATGATTTCTTCAAGAATCTTGCTATTGTGTAAAAAACTATGATTACCTGTATATGGTATGTACACAACCTGACTAGAAAAGGGTTTTCTTTTGTCCTTTGATGTCCTGTCAAGGATTATCTCTTTGTCTGTTCTTGTCGACGTAAATCCTTCAAATCTGTTGAAAGGAACTGTAGAAAAAAAGACCACCCTTTTATTTTTTCATATGTGGTCTTTCTTCATTTTGAAAAATCATTTACTCTATAGCAGAACTATATCATGATACTAATTCATAATACTGAAGAGAATAAGGATATTTCTTAAAAGACACCGATGTTTCAACGTAATGAAATCATGTCCTCAGAATTGAAAATATTTATTGAACGTTTGAAATGAAATAAAACATTACAGAAACATATAGCATACAAGGTTATGCTTTCAAGAGATATACGAACAAGTTGAGCAGGCTTGTACGAGAAAATTCGAAAATAACAGATAAAAAATCTGGCGAATTTGGAAAAATGAGCCAATTTGTTTTATAGGAAGTTGTCACTAAGAAGGCTGATTTACACCAGTTTATTCTCTCCAGAAAAATTAGAATGGTAATTGTTTCTCGGAGACAAGACGAGTCGGATTGAAAATCTGTGAACGTCATTTTGTAAACCTTGAAAAGTGGCAACGAGAAAGTGTTTTTGTATTTAAATTTCCTCTCAATAACGCCAGAAAACGACTAAAACGAATGCTCAAATTTTGCTATGTCGTTATAATTTGCCCCAGCTGGTAGGTTTAGCTGGGTTTAAATTACTTTACCGGGTCTACTTTATTTTTGTATCGCAAACGGCTCGAAAACACAAGATTTGATGGGCGTTCGTGTCGTTTTATACCTGCAGTGGTGTGTTTATTTATTTATAAACAGATGATATTGTTGCAACGTTTGAATTCAAAATATTTCGTATAGCACGCTTCCATTTTCCTATTTGCCACGCTGGCCTGTCTTATCTTGCACGCTACGTATAATATGACGTGTGACACGTATAAAAAATTCATATTGTACGAGGGTGGTATGAAAAGTTTTTGACCTCAACATGAAGATAGCTGCACTCGTTGTTCATCTGTTGACAGTTACTCACCGAAGTTTCAGTCATTTTGGACGGGCAGTTTTTATGTAACAGTCGTTTGACTGAGTTGATGTGAGTGTTTTTATGAAAATGAACAAAGTCGAGTATCGAGCTGTCATTAATTATTTGTTTTTCAAAGGCAATACGCCTACTCAAATCAGAGATGAGTTGGATTCTGTGTATGGGGACTCTGCACAATCATTTACCTCAATGAAATTTTGGGCAGCTGAATTGTAGCGTGGCCGTTAGAACTTGGGAGACGATGAACATTTGGGATGGCCAAAAAGTTCACCAAATATTGCTAGACGACCGCCGAATTAGAGTGAAAGAGATAGCAGAGGTTATGAACATGCTACGTGAACAGAGGTTATGAACGTGTTTGTTACATATTGAATGAACATTCAGGCATGAGGAGGGAGTCCGCGCGTTGGCTGCCGCGTTTGCTCACGTTAGACCAAAAACGGCCACTTTTGTAGAAAAAGGAAATCCTGTTTCATCAAGACAATGCAACATCTCACACCTCAGCGGTTGTAACGGCGAAAATCCACGAATTACAGGTTGAACTGCTTGACTACCCGCCTTACTCATCAGATCTGACCCCAAGCGACTTCTTTTTGTTTTTTGTTCCCTCATCTCAAAATTGCGCTCAGAGGACAGATATTTCCGTTGAATAACGAGGCAATTAGCTTCGTGCACAATTATTTTGCAGAGAAAAACACTGAGTACTATTTGGACGGGTTACAGAGATGAGAGCATCGCTGGGAGAAGTGTTTAGAGTTTAAAGGAAACTATGTTAGGTCGGAAACTTTTCGGGCCACCCTCGTAACTTTTAGCTAATATAGGATCTTTAATATTCGTTAAATGGTGTTGAAAGTTGGCAAAATCAGAATTCAGATGAGTTTTTTTAGATGAACAAAGGGTTTTTTGAAATTTTTCACTCCAATAAGGTCAGTATTGAAGTATTATTGCATTTTTTCCTCTTCGATTCATACTTTTAAAGACATACGAGTACGTATATTGCTACCGCGACCTTGTATTGTTTAAAATTAAAACAAGAACTGTAAATCGATGAATCACCACCGATCAAGTTATCAAAATACAACTTTCTCACCTAGAACTAGCAACGAAAAAATACAGAACCAATCCTTGGTCACGAGGTGATCCGTCTTCACATTCGTTAACATCGTCAATGTTTCTAAAAAATCACTGTTCACAAATCACATCTTCCTACACCACTAACCCAGTCACAGACCGTGCAAAGAAAACACTAGATACGTCAAGACAAGTCCGTGTGTTACACCATAGACCGTTCTTATGTCGATGCAGTTAGTGAATAGAAAGCGGGAATTTGCTAATGTTTGCCGACAATAGCCACTTCCAACGGTTCTTATTACCTGTACGAATCAATGAATGCTTACCTGTTGAGTGGAAAGAGAGCGAGAGTTTTAAGAAGACAGGGCCGAATTGGGTTCCCTGCGACAGATTCNTTGTGGGGAACGAGAAGTGCCGAATTTATTGAAACTATTCGTTCCCCACCCTCAGGCTCATACAAGCTAACAAGCCTGATGTAGTCCTTCTCGACCACCAGAGCAAAACGATATTTGTCGTGAAGTTTTCAGCTCCTGGTGAGACGAATATCGTCAGAAAAGAGGAGGAAAAACGGATGAAGTATCGGGATTTTCTCTTCGAACTCCGCAAACTCTATCCAGATCACTCTGTCAAGATGGTTGTTCTGATTGTTGGAGTCCTTGGTGGAATGATGTCCTCTCGACTCTCGAATCTTGAAATCATACCGGCTTGCCGCACTAAGCCAGAAATCTTAGCCGCACAGATGCAGAAGACTGTCATTCTTGGCTAACTGCGCTGGCTCAGGGCACATGATTCTCGGACCCAATGATCACTTACCCCACGGTGTGGGGAGTGGTCATTGGTTGATAATGCTGGCGCGCCTTCCCGAATGTATCGGGGCTTCGGGGGACAGGGCCTGACCAGCGCGTATAACAATAGCCCTCATTAACCAACAGGTAAAAACCATTCACAAGGTCAATTAAGTATGTTGAAAAAGTAATATAGACTGTTATATAACACCTGAACGTTCAAAATGACTAAAACTTTGGTGAGTAACTGCCAACAGATGAACAAAGAAATTCACTAGCTTTTCATTTTGAAGTCGTTAACTTTCCAGACCCCCCTGGTAAATTGCAGGTTCTAGGAAAACATATCACAATTGGTGTCCCCCAACGCTCTATACTGAGCCCCATACTATCTATTATTTTTCTCAATGACTCGCCTAGAAGGCAAAACGATATATACAAGTATCATTACTATTATTATTCGATGAAAAATCTCATTTACATATCCTTTATTGTTATTATTGAAAACATTTTTTGACTAAAGATTAAAACGTAATTTTAGGTGGAGACAGAAAGTGAAATTCCTATTACGGCCCTGTTACGCATACCAAGAACTCTCGAAGAACGTTAGATAGTAATTTTCAAAACATTTCAGTGCCATTTGCGTGAGATTTTTTCGGACTGAGCCGATCGGCCTTTTGTAATTTGTAAGCGGACCGGAAAACATTCCATCGATTTGCCCTCTTTTGACAACAAAATCGTTGTAAATGGACCAAGTGTGGTCTCCGATTCATCGGGAGCTTTCAACAGATGCCATCCAAACCGTAATTATTGTTATACTTTTATCGGAGGTATTGTGAAGAGGGTGCTTAGGAATTTTAATTCCCTTTCGAGGTCTGGGCAAGTTTGTACGAGTAGTGACGAATGGTGGGAAGATTGTGTTTTCATTCTTCCATTCCTTATTTGGATTTTTGTTCGTCTTCGATAAATAGAATTCTTCGAAATACATTTTTTTGAACAGGAGTCAATGTCGCCGGGTTTCAATCTTTCACTCTCTGAAGAATAAACGATGAAAGGCCAGGAAAGGACTACGATGGAAAGCTACAAACGAAGAAACTACTCAGAAAGGAAATGTGAGGGAAGGAATGAAGGACACACAAAATAAAAACGAAGAAGTGAACTGCTTGACAATCCCAATGGGTCTACATTCTTCTGGTCGGTAGCTAAAGCTGTTAATCAGAACGATACAAAATCCACCATTAACACAAGCGTATGGTTCAATTGCAACAACAGCCATAGAAAGAAGAGGAGAGGAAAAGGAGGAGAAAATTGATCAATTTTCTTCTCCTGAGGATGCTAGCTTTGTTGGCGAAACGCGCGTCGAGTGCAAAAATATTAGTTTGGTGTTAGAGCAATTGATCTCGAAAAAAGTTATTCAACTTTCACACCAAAGGTTCCAATCTCATCGTTATTGATATTCTGATATTCGTATGTTTCAAAAGTGGAAAGATGTCAGATTATGCAATTTCTACATAAGAAAACATTTTTTGCTAAAGAGAGTTTCCAAAAAAACCTCGATTGAAATAGTAAAGAAATAAAAAAAATCCTTCGAGCCGGATTTGAACCAGCGACCTATGGATATCTACAAGTTTTTCCCACTACAGTCCACCGCTCTACCAACTGAGCTATCGAAGGTTGATAATTTAGAAATCGAAAGCGATATCTGAGATAATCATGTGCTATATTAACTCCATGAAAAAAAGTGACAGTTATGAAAATTTGAACCTCCAGTTAACCCAACTCGGGTCAACTGATATCCGGGAAATTCAAAACGATTAATACAGAAAAAGAAACAAAAATCACCCAGTTTTTTAATATATGTTGTTTGAAACTAATAAAATATTGAGTTGCGATTAGCATGCATTGTTTTGAAATAGAAAACATAAACTATCATGAAAAATTAGAATTGGAACTTTCTATGTTTTTTACCACTTTTATTTGTAAGTAACGTTGCGACATTTTCAAACTTATACATTAATGTATAAGTCCTTAAGCTGTCCTTGTCCTTGAAGGACAAAACTGCAGCAAACGTCAGTTACAAATAAAAGTAGTAAAAACATGGTGAGCATGTTCTCTTTTTCTGTGAGCTAATACAACAAACTGCTTCCGTTGGTTTCAAAGAAATCATATCAGCCTTCTTGTCGCTGATATATCTGTCAAAGTAGTTTTTCGTTCAGATTTTGAGCTGAAAAACTCTCAGGGTGAAAGGTGTTGGCTTGGTTTGATATTCGTATTCATTTGACAAAGATGATGAATGCAAAGTATTTTGGCATTGGTTCCAGCTTAGCAAGCCTGCAACTAATTTGTTTCATACTCATTGCGGTGTCAAGCAGGACATTTCAATTGTATTTTTAGGAACATCCTTTTTTTAAGGACTTTGCGAAGTGGGATAACTCCACTATAAGGTTATTGTGTCAAGTTTCCCGATTTACTTGCATACTTAATTCAAACACATATAAATGTTTTCAACATCACTCTGAAATTAAGCACCTCATTCCCTGGTTTCACCCTCTCCAGGCATCATTAGCAACAGCGAATTTAAGAACCACCTTCGACGATGTTCGTAAACTCTCCATCGGGAAGGAACTTGATAAGATGATCAACGAAGCATCAGGACCAATGAACTTCATTAGTTGTTGAGTCTTTTTGGCACCAGGTTGGCTGATTCCCAAAAAATCAATCTCTCCTAAATGTCATTAATGACATGAGTGGAATAAATTCATTCCGTTACATGAAATCGTAATTTAATGAATCAATTCAGCACCAGATCTGATACTGAAGAGCTGGCAAATGTCTTACGGTGTCCACCAGCGAGGATGACAGTGTTCTATGTGAGTGAAGTTTTACACCTCTTTCATATACTATATTGTGTAGCCATACTCTCACCATACGAGTGTGAATGGGTGTGAGCCACAATAAACCCTTTCGGGTTGCGGTGGAGGGTCAAATAAACCCACTTAATTTGGACCTAATCTAACCTAACTATATTGTGTAGGAATCCTGTAAATGATTTCTGTTAATTCCTGTTAATTTTCTTTGAAATTGATTGTTTCCTTCCTTCCTCTACTAAAACTATACCCCTTTCAAATTGAACTAGATTCTAGTTCTTTTCAATTTGAACTAGATTCTAGTTCTTTTTGTACGATTATCCCCTTGAAGTTCTTTTATGCCCCTTTTCAGAAATATCCACAAAATTAGTGGTTCAGAGCTTTTCATTCAAAGCTTTTCGTGGGTTTCTATAGATGGGACTGATAAAAATGTTGGCTTTACTGAAAGGAAAGACTCATAAAGTTGGAAACTGAAACAACGGACGAAGTGGAATAGGAAATTAAATTTTTATTCAAATCTCATTCGATTCCATAAAATATACATTATTTTAGTCTCTGAGTTTTGTGAGTTGTTGGAATACAAACTTATATACTTGACTCACTGCATATACTGGTTAAACCATGAGAAAATTAAATGGAATTTCGATATGAACGACGATGGAAATGATCTGGAAGATGCTGCTGCGTAAAGTCACACTTTAGGCTGCTTCTCCTTCACCTTCACCTTCTTCCTTTTCAGCCGCGGTGAGGAGGGTGATCAAACCTTGGGTGTCGATTCTGCCGTTGTCGTCGATGTCCATGGCGTCGAAAGCGTCATCAACTTCCTTCGCCGAGAATTTGTCTCCCCAGGTCATCAGGGCGTGGCGGAACCTGCAACGATAGAAAAGAATCAGAAAAGTTTCACATAATTTTACTATGAAAAAAATATCGAGTTTTGTATATCCATTCATTCATTTCTGTACGACGTCGTTCGCATTGTATGTGGCCCCCTGGGTGAGGGTAGGTTCTGATCCTACCGACTGCGCTCATCGATAGTATTCCTGTTGTACCAAAGAAGTTGTGTTTATGTTTTTATATTTTTACACATTCAAGAACCGGCTATAGAAAAAGGCAAACTCATATAACAGTATGGACCGGAGGTTTCGCTCTATTCCATAGTACGATCAAATTAACTTCACATAGTTCACTCTGGATAACTTCAATGATGCCTAAGTAATTGTCAGCCAATTAGTGGAGGATCTTTATTCAAGTCTGCTGTATATTGATTTGAAACAACTAGATCAATACAATTCATGAAATACAAGATTTTTGAAATTTCCTCACCTTTCACCGTCGATGGTGCCGTTTTCATCGAACGATTTGAAAGCAGCGATGACAACTTCATCATCGTCGGTACCACCGGAATCAGCCATTCTGTTGCCGAAAAGACCCAACAACTGGGTGAAGTTGATTGGTCCTGATGCTTCGTTGATCATCTCATCAAGTTCCTTCTCGTTGGAGAGCTTGCCAACATCATCGAAGGTGGCTCTCAAGTCGCTCTTGCTGATGATGCCTGAAAAGGACGAGATTTGAAAATGAGGTGCTGACTTTCAGAGTTATGTTGGAAACATTCATATGTGTTTGAAATATACGAGTAGTTTTGGAAACTTAACACAATGATCTCAGTGGAGTTATCAACCTTTAAAAACAGAGAACGATGTTCCTGAAAAAACAATCCAAACGTGAAGAAAGTACGCCTGTACTCAACTCATATTGGTTCATCTGATAACAAGGGCAAAACAGTTCAACGTTTTTCTTATAGTCACGAGAAGTTAGCTATTCCAATTCAGGCAGTATTGTTTGCAATGTTTGTTTGGCAAAACCTGAAACGACGCCAATGGCAGGTTCTGGTCCGATGAAGCTGCTTGCAGCACCCTGCTTTGCAAGGCAGTCAGCAGCTTCATTGCCTTGCAGGCCAGTATGACCAGGAATCCAGCTATATGAAGGGATCATTGTCAAGACTATGGAGTCTCATCAAAGAGTTCAAGCTAGACAATGAGCTCTAACAACCAAGGAGCATCACAATAGATCTGAATAGGTCGCAGTGAATCAGGTCGGGGGTCAGCTCCCCAACAATCTAATCTAATCTGATGGCCAGGAATCCAGTAACAAGTAACAAAGTTAACAAAGACCATCATCAGTAATGGTTATTCATTCTTCAATGAGGAAACAACTTAGGTATTTCCAAGTTGGCAATTCATTATCAATTCTACAAATAGAGACAATCTTTTTCTAACCAGGTTATATTGTCTGATTACTTTAGTGTTTTCACTGAGCTGAAAAAAAACAGACTCGTCTAGACACACTTTTTGATCTTCAACACCCGTGAGAACCTGATTTCAGAGAATAACCAAGCAGGGGTCGTATGATCAAAATAACAATCTCAAAGGAGTGCTTTGCGTAGAGCCTCCGAAATATTCACAACGAGTATTGATATTTTGTAGGATTTTCTTACAATACCAAGAGCCAAAACACCAAGAGATCAAGTCTTGGTATCAGGTATTTCATCTGCCATGAGGAAAATATGATAAATTATCATCCAGATGATCCACGATGTATTCTCAGCTCAGCTCAGAGGAAGGTAAATTAATGTCAGATGTTTTGATAGTTCACTTCCTTCTCAGAATAGAGTATAAGACATTTGAATCATCGGGTTACTGTTGCTACTTCTGTTCTGAGTTGATGAAGGAATTTCTAATAGATTAGGATCAAGTGGGACTATAGAAGTTTTGATGTAGACGAATCAGTGCGAACATTTCTCTCAGATGATTCGTTTTCACCCTACATGTTTTGTATCCATCAAGAATGGAAAATTGGAAAATATTTCAGTAAACAATTCATTGGTGAGCCTACCATCTTTATCATGGTCCATCAGTTGGAAAGCTTCCTTGAACTCAGCTACTTGAGCTTGGGAGAACATGGAGAAGACACTGGAACCAGAACGTTTAGCTTTCTTGGACGAGCTTTTCGATGAGGTTCTGGTCTCGGCGGCTGGGGCGGCAGCGGCGGCGGGGGCTTCTCCTGCATCTTCCTTCTTCTTCTTCCTAACCTTCTTTTCTTTGTCCGCCTGTAATCAGGATAAATGAGCTAGAGACTTGCGTTGCTGCCAGATTATGATGGGAATAGGGGGAAATAATTGTGATACTGAAAATTAATAATAATGACAATAATAATAGCGTCCTCAATTACTACTGGCCAACAGAAGAAGATTGACTCTTTGCTTGAGGCTATAAAGCTCAGAAATCACAGAAAGTGAAATAGCTGATGAGTGTGGTAATAGAAAAATATATCTGAGGGAAACCTTGATGAAGTGTCTAACTAAGAAGAGAAAGAAGAAAGAAAATTGTTGAAAAAATGACACACAGGAGTATTTTGATGAGTTTCATGACAAGGTGGAGAAAAATGAGAAATGAGCCCACTAGACTACACTATTTTAGGAAAATTGAAAGAAATAGACGAGTCAAAAATAGCCTTTGTAAGAAACATGGAAATTTGAGCAAGGAATCAACTACCACTGAAAAGACTGCTTGAAAAATTAATTTTGCCTATATTAGGGGGTAAAAATTTATCTTGAGTAGATATTGAAATTCTATCAACACTCTCCCTTCCTTGACTGAGTTGATATCAGTCAACTAAGTGACATAAGTAGATCAGGACTAACGTCATGAATTAATCGTAAACTGAGTTCTCAAAGATGACTTTACAACAGACTTGAATAGTATATTTTTCTCCTTTTTTGAGTACTCCAATCTCATATATTTGTTTCTTAGTCATGAAGTGAATGCTGATTTATTGTTCCTTATTATATATGTGCAGGCCACAAGTGGAACCTCGTGGAACTCCTCTACTGGCATAGATAAGTAACAAGTTGAATGAAGATAAAGAACAGAATTTAATATTCTAACATTTGTCTTGTAGTTATAACTAGTCATAATTAAAAATATGTATGAAGATAAGAATATTTTAGTATAGCTACATGATGAATAGTGCAATGGCCTTAGGACACGTGACCTATGGAAGAATTCACGAAAATAACTATCTGGAATTTGAAAATATTGCAATTCTGAACTACCAGCCAGCAAATTATAAATGAAAATGGGTCACGTTCTATTTTGGCACGCTACCAAGTTCAGAAGCTTCGTACAGAAACTAAAATAGATGACGATTCAGTTACAAAATACACATGCCTGGTGGTTCAAAAATAGACTGTGCGTTTATGTAATTTTTTCGACCTCTATTTTTACAAGAGAATTAGTTGAATCTTATTAGCTGAATTATTTTATAAACATGTGATGATTGCTTCATTAGGAATGAAGGTATAGAAACAGTTTTCGATGATATGAAGAAAATTTATTCTTTTCAGCATGTATCTTTTGAAAAATCTCAGTTTTTTTGGTCTCAATGTGAAATTGTTTCGACTGATAATGATATTTGAATTAAATTGTAGTTATTAACTCCAACTGAAGAACGGTTTCTGTGGAATTGAATATTTCAAATAATACTCGGCTATTTTGCAGATTATAAAGGATTTTAAATGGAAAATCTATTGAAATATAAATTAGTCCTTATGTTTTTTTTTTTAATTGATAGTTAGTGATGGTCACTAATAATAGTATTTTTTCGTTCAATTCAAACAAGACTCATACGGCTGGGATTGAATCAAATGAGAGATAGAATGTCATTATGTGCTGTCATCGATTTTATTCGAATTGGTGCTGAAATGACAATAATCTTATTCCGAAACATCGATGTCCGCCATTGAGGATGACAGTGTTACATGTGAGTGGAATTTTATCTCTTTCATATACTATATCGTGTATATCTGATTCGATTAAACACGAAAAGAGTATGCATCTACTCCACAACTTCATCATTTTTATTCGTGAGTTCAACTTTTCTATAAGCACAATGATCCTGAATATCTTGAAGAATCATTGATAGATTATTTTCAAGTCATTGAAAACTCTTAGAAAATTTTGCTTTCGTTTGATTTGGAAAATATCTCAGATCTTGGAAAAGATTACATTTCGTTTTTTGTGCTAGTCTAAAGAGGTTAAATTTGTGGTTTATGCTAGTGATGTGATTTTCTTATTCTTTTTATGATTAAGAATGTGGTACTATTTTTAGTTTTTTCAGAAGGTTAACTAAGTATCTTTATAGATACTCTTGCGTTTATAAGAATTGGAGATGCTAGATGATTATAGCGGTTTGGTTAGTGATGAGTTGGATTTTGGAATCACGACTCTGTTCTACTCAATTATTTGGTACAGTTGAAATCATTCAATAGCAATTTCTACCCAAATCGGAAACAACTAAAGCTGAACCTCTTTAGAGAACCGAACAAAGCCCAAAGTAATTTTTGCAACAACGAAATATTGAGTCACTCAAAAATCAGCAAAGGACAAAACTTTACTGTAGCTTTAACGAAATTCCACAAGTTCACAGAAAAAAATCACGTCACTGACGTATGACACTGCACTGAACACATCCACAATTCCCAGGGGGTGTCCATCTCCCAAAAAACTTACCATTGTGTCGTCGATGTTCTTTCTCCAAATAACACCCGCGACTGGGAGGTTTGGCAGGTCGAGTTTCTTAAATAAGTTTCGGCGTCGATCGCTCGGTAGCGTCGCGACGCTAAGCGAAGTTCATTTCGCTCGCACCTTATATAGCTTTTTCTTATAATAGATATCTCGATGTGGAGGATAGACTGAAACACTATAGTGGAATTCGGTAATGAGAAAGGTGCTCGGGTGTTGGATTTTTTCGTGTATACAGGGTGTTGAGTCAGATAGATAGATGGAGGATTTATTTAACTACGATACATGTTTGTGGCAGGTCATATAAATGAACAGTTTCAGTTCCAACGCTATGTAGTGAACATACACACAAACTCATGAGTAAATAAAGACTTAGATCTCAGACAATTAAAAAAATAATAGAACAATTATAAAAATATAGCACAAACAAATCACTTCACAAAGAGGCTAACAATATCGTAATACTACAACAAGAATTATATTTGCAATACCAAGATTAACAACTAACATTTCTTTTTTACATGTTATAATTATACAGGGCGTTCCAAAGAAAACTTGACCTCCCCTGTAAGTTAGAAACGGACATGTAATCGAAAATTTCAAAGAACACGTCACTTTTTATTACTTTTTATTACATCTTTGTTTGATTCCTGAACTAGCCTTATTTTGAAAGGATGGAATTTGTAGGCTTTCAAAATACGAAAAACACATCCGAAACTTATCCATTAACTGTTTAACATATTGATGGCTCACGTTGTGGTCTGGATAATTTGTATTATAAATTCTTGCAGCAGCTTTAGCACCTTTATTATTTCGATAATAGGTTACAACAACTCATTTTCTTTCTTCAGTAGAATAAACCATGTTGGAATACAGTGAACAAGGTGATTGAATAATTTGTTTGAAGGTGCTTAACAATGTTTCGAGATGAATTTCACTAGTTCGGACTTCCATTGTCTACTATATAAAATGATTTGAAATCCCTGAAACAAGTAAAAAAGAATAATAACCTATTGTCCGTAAATAGTATTTTCTCGGAAATGGCTTCAAGAATCCAAAGGATTCTTACGAGTTGCTTGCCTCCAGACTTAAGGAAAAGAAACATCTTCACCCAGACACCAAAATTACATACCACCATAATAGAGAAAAAGATCTTTTGCCTTTTTTTCTCAGCAAGAGGATATGGTTTTTTGTAACAATATTAAAGGACTGTTGGAAAAAATGGGGTTTATCGGAGTATACACCAGATCACTGGCGTCTTTTTATCGACAGTTCCTAACGAAGTTTAAAGTGTGTCCTACATAATGGCAACAAATATGGAAGTATACCAATTGGGCATCCTACAAAACTGAAAGAAGAATATAAAACAATATCGCTGGTGCTGAAAAACATCAAGTATGACTAACATCAGTGGGTGATCTGTGTTGATTTTAAGACGGTGAATTTTCTCCTGGGACAACAAGGTGGCTATACAAAATATCCTTGTTTTCTGTGTCTTTGGGATAGCAGGGCTAAGGACCAACACTGGGGTAGAAGAAAATGGTGCTCTAGAGATGCTTCAGTTCAAGGAGGAGCTAATGTACTTAACGAAGCATTGGTCGACCGAGAGAAAATAATATTACCTCCGTTACATATCAAACTAGGGCTGATGAAACAGTTTGTAAAGGCCCTAGATCAGAATCGTCCTTGTTTTGAATACTTGTCCAGCAAATTCCCTGCATTTAGTAAAGAAAAATTGAAAGCCGGAATATTTGTTGGGCCTCAGATACGACAACTTATGAAAGATTCTCATTTTAGAATCGATGACTGAATTTGAGAAATGCTCAACAATTTTAACAAACACGCTTGTCATATGAGTATTAAAATTCATTACCTCCACAGCCACAAATGAAACGCTTCCACCAAGATATCAAAACGATGGAGGAGAGGTATCAGGGGAGAAAGGACACTCACATAATGGCGGATTACTGCTGGAGTCTTCAAAGGGATCGTCCTTCTGAAACATTTGCAAGAAAATCATAGGAAGTTTAGGTGACTCCGAATAACAGATTTGTGCTGCGATGCTGGTTAGGTTACATGAAAAGTTAAGTTTTTTTGGCAGATATGTGTGATGATTTTTGTAAGTATATTGTTGTGCAATGAATATCATACTTTTTATTCGTGTTTCGTTTATTTGATGAGTAGCAGCACTACATATATATAGATAGTACTGTGTTAAATTACCCTATATGTTAAAAATGTGATCTGTTGTCGTATTTTCTGAAAACGATCTGATGGAGCAAATCTTGAGGCATTTATCGATTCAGCAGACCTAAATTACCTAGAAACAGTAAAAAAAATCCGGCAGCAAACTGTGTGTTTACCAGTGAATACGTGAAGAAGTGTCAGTGGCCAACTATCTACTTTTTGTTCTGCGACAACTAGAGTCAACAAAAACTACCAATGCAGAAAAACTAACAGTCGTCCATTTCAAAATGTTTACTACTAATTTAACAACTTCTATAAATCTAAAAGACCTGCGACAGGGAATTGTTCGGGAATGCCGATTTCTGACTCCGGACATCTTCAATAATGTAAGGAACGCTTTCGAAAGTAGAATATATCCAAGTAGGAATGGATCAATTGACGCTGAGCCTATGACGAGAAGCGCTTACTACGCTTCTCTGCTGCAGGCAACCAGTGATGCAATTGCACCCAGGTTTGTGTTTAATAGTTTCCAATAATTTCCAAGATATTTTGTCTCTTGCTCTTCTATTATCAGAAACGGAAATTTTTAACAAATAAACCAGTAGTAATAGGTAGATAGATCTTTATTCCTAACAGCTAACACACCTATTGAAATAAAATGTTTCAGACAAGACTTAGAAATTATAAATACAATAAAATACATTACAACAATTTAAGGATTAACAACGCACTAAAATATATTCTGTAGTATAGGAATATTATGTAATGCCCCATGTTGGCAGATTGAATCGAAATTCAAAAGTGACTTCCCCAATAAATTGATAATGAATCTGTCACAACGAAAGGGACAGTGCTGTGTAGATTTGAGGCAAAGTACGGGTTGCGGGTTATATGAATTATAGAGAAATTTTGTGCTCGTTGTGCTCAACGATATAAAATTGGCCCGATTCAGTAGAACGGAAAAACCAATTCCTCTTTCTGGATGATTACCACTTTTGGACGCACGTTCTACCAACCAAGTTGACACCTTCAGGTTCACATCGATGATTTCAGGTAGAAGAGAAAGAATGACAAGCAAATAATTGAAAGAGAGAGATTTTTCATACCTTAAGTAGGCAAAGGTTGTTAAATCAGATTACCATGAGATAATTGATAATTCAATTGATGTCTAGGATGGTTTCAGTATTTGAAACACACTAAAGAGCGTTATAACTTGATAGCAGTGGCTTTGAACAGGACTACTCCACAGGTTTCTAATCCTACAGTTCCGAAAACATGCGGTCTGTCAATTCACCTCATCAATGTACTCAAAGTTGCGAGATGATGATGTGTTTTCGTTGTTTCCAAGGGAACCTATACCAAAAACTATTGAATATTTGGGGGATCTTCTGAGGGATGATGATTTCAGTGAAAAGGAAACAAGAAACAGGTTCTAGTTCAACAACCTCAGCCTCTGCCTCAGCTTCTCACTAAACGAAAATATGAAGTTGTTATACGGAACGACGGAACATTTGATTGAAGGTTAACATCAATTTATCTTTTCTTCAACTAACTATTTTTGTATAGAACATTTTCAGTAAATTGCAGTCATTTCTTCATATACATTATTCCAATTTTTACAAGCATCGCATCGGTGGTTCAGTGGTAGAATGCTCGCCTGCCACGCGGGCGGCCCGGGTTCGATTCCCGGCCGATGCATTTTTTTTTAATTCAATTTCAAAATATCTATCCAGTTCACAATGTGCCTTACATAATCAATTCTGCTGCAGAATCAGCTTATCAGAAACATGGATCACTAATTTAAACCGGTAGCCTATATATAGGTATACCGACGTTGACCGCTCTTAATGCTTTTCGAACAAAATAGACTATTAATTGTAATGTTTGTCGTATATTTGACGCTCCATCTTTAGCATACCTTCATCTGCCGAACTGTATTGAAACGTCCTTGTTAATCTCGAACATTTTGATGATCGAGAAAGATTCAGTACTTATCTACAGAAGCGAAGAAAGGCCATATATCTTCATTACAAATATACACCCATTAGATTAGATTATCGGGGAGCTGGCCCAAATCTATTGTGATGCTACTTGTTTGTTAGAGCTCATTGTCTAGCTTGATCTCATTGATGAGACTCCATAGCCTTGACACTGGCCCCTTCGCATAGCTGGCAGTCTCTAGCATCTTGCGTGTCTCAGTCTTGCTATCGCTTCGCATCCACAGAGGACATGCAGTACGGTTTCTTTCTCTTCTTGACAAAACCTGCATTGAGTTTCTTCTGTCAGACCCATGTTGCTCAGATGTTTTCTGAGTCGGCTATGCCCACAGTCGGCGAAGGGTAGTAGACCCATCACTACCCTTACAACCTTACGTTTGTGGTTTGGCAGGTCTTCCGTGAATCTGGGCGATGGTTTCTTTATGAACTCGTTCGTCTGCCTCATTCCTGGGAGCTTATTCCACCAATCTATCGATTCTGCCTGCATCCATGAATTTATGGATGTCTTTATACATGCTTTCGCTACTGGTTCGATCATAGCCTTGGATGCGCATCCACGGGCTAGAACGGCCTCCTCATTTGTGACCCTCATATCCGGGTACCCAAGCTAGAGTGACCCTATTTTGGGTCCTTAGCTCCTTGAGTGGGCTTAGACAGCTTCCCACCATCTTGAGAAGACGTAAAATGAGCTAAGCGCCTTAATTGCCGCCTGGCTGTCGGAGAAAACGGCAATAGTTTTATTTGTGAACTTCTGCCTGTTTATTTCCCCCATACAGTGTTCGATGGCCGCTACTCCTACTCGGAACACAGTTGCATTATGTCCGAAGCTGAGTGCGATTCTCATCTTTGCTCTGCCTCCGTAAATACTGGCTCCAACTCCTTCTTGGGTGTTTGAGCCATCTGTATACTGAGTTTCATCCGCTTTTACCGGTAGGCCGTTTTGCCAGTCCTCTTTATTTGGTATGATTTTGATTTTTTTTAAAGCTGTACTGTGGAACCGTGTTATCCACGGGCATTCCTAGTATTGAATCCGCCTTCAGTGACTGGCTGACTGGGGCTTGCCCCTCCACTAGCCTGTGTGTCACCAGTCGAGCTTCTTTTAGTATGTAGATGTGCAATGGTGGAAGTCTGAGTAGGACCTACAGTGCTGCAGTTGGGGTCGTCCTCATGGCTCCTGCGACTCTTAAGCACGCCAGCCTTTGTATACCGCCTAATAGCCTAGCCGTACCCGATTGCTTTGTTCTTGTCCACCAAGTCACTACACCGTATTTTATCATGGGTCTCACTACCCTTATATATAACCAGAGTGTCATTTTTGGGTTCAGCCCCCAGTATATCCCGCACCTTCTATGCATTTCCGGGGCCATCCTGGCCTTATGTGCAGTTTTTTAGATATGGAGCCACGTGAGCCTGTGACCGAAAGTCACATCTAAGTATTTGACCTCCGTGGCGAAAGGGACCTCCACTTCATTGAGTATTGAAGGCTTCAGTACTCGCATCACTGTTTTCCTTATGAAAACGACGACAGTGGTTTTTTGGGCATTCACTGAGAGGCTCTCATGCTCGCACCATCTGCCGACGACGTTCAAGGCATGTGCTCTGAGATGACGCCTGCAAATTTTCCTTTTGTGACTATCACCAGATCGTCAGCATAACCCAGGCAATATATGCCTGGGTTGCCCATAGCAATGGCGGTAGTACGCCTCCTTGTGGGCATCTCTTATCTGCTCTTACCTGAATGGTAGCCTCTTCCAGAGTGGTGTATATCACCCTTCTTTCTAGGCTGGCTTTTATCCATCGACACACAACAGCTGGTATTCCTCTTTTTCCCAGTGCGTCTATAAGTGGCTCCGTGGAGACATTATTAAATGCAAAATGCACCTTCGATGTCTAAAGCAGCTACTGCCATTTCTTTGACGTCTGACGACTTTGATAGTAGTCTGTTTAAGTCGTCCAGCGCTAAATCTGTCGATTTCCCAGGCTGTTTCGCATATCGACGAGCACTAAGCACAAGCACGGTTTTCATTAGAAAGGACGTTAGACTGATAGGTCTGTATGACTTGGGCGTTTGGTCTGATATTTTGCCTATTTTAGGCTGGAAGACTACTTTCACCTTTTGCCATGATTTTGGAATATATCCGCAGGCTACCCAGGCTCAGAATTCTGCTCAGAAGTGGTATCAGCATATCCAGCCTCTTTTGTAGCAAAATCGTATATATTTCGTCTATTCCTGGTGACTTTTATGGTTTGAATTTTTGAATCGTCCCTCTGGTCTCGTTTTTTCGGCGGTCAGCCTCAAATCCCCCGCCGTTGGCCTTCTGTGCCTTGTTGGAAGAAAGGAAGGCCCCCCGAGAGCCCAGGAATATACATTCATGCTTTTCATGTTTCCGAAACTATCAGGCAATAAAAAACCCTGAATAAATATACTGCGTTCAGCCTGCGGCTTGAACGATCGACTCACACATCGGCCGATTGACTGAGTGAACAAAGCGCCCACGTCGAACCGCCCGGCTACCGACCAGTACCAATTTCATTCAATATTGAAAAAGATCAGGATTTTTAGCATACATTTATTTGAAACGAACATGCATTAATAACAAAATGATTGAAAAGCATTTTGGGGTAATATCGTTGCCATCAAATTTGTAAAATACCTTCTCATGTTTTCGGTGGCCTGTGTCCAAAGATAGAAGATCCCACTCTGACGTTGGTGCTTCCCAATTCAATCTGAAACAATATTTTATGCAAAACTGTATCTCTCTTACCATTCAGACTCAAATATACCGCGTGCTCGAAATCATCAGACATCCCCATAGATAAAGCTACATTCTTCCAGTCTAGATTCAAACTTTGACATAGTTCGTCTCTGCAGCGCTTCAAGCACACAAAGTCGGGGTTAGGGCCATCTTCCGGATTGTAGCCGAACTTTCCTATGGTCATCAAACCTTCCAAGTGCAGATTTCTACACTCGTTCAAAACGTAGTTCGTCACCGTACAGACTTCTGCAGGAACAATTCCGCTTTTTTCTGTGAAATAACATGGGAATTATTTTTGTAAATATTTGTTTAAAGGCTAGCTCCTACCTTCTTCCCCACTGGTATTCACTTGTATCATTATTTTCAACTTGGAGTCTGGTGGCCCGAATTTTGGCCAGTTTTTGTTCAACGTTTCTGCTAATTTCTTAGAATCCACAGTCTCCACCAGATGTATGTTTGGAACACTCAAAACTTTGTTGACTTTATTTTTTTGAAGGTGGCCAATAAAGTGCCACCTTATCTCTTTGCATTTTTCCAAGATAACCTCGTTATTGGCCTTCTCTTCTAGTTCTTGTACGTAATTTTCTCCAAAATGCCGCTGTCCCTCTTCGTAGGCAGCAACAATGAGGTCAACTGGTTTCAATTTGCTCACGGCTACTAATTGAGGTTCTAGAGCTTGCAATTCCTTGAAAAAACTTGGGCTATAGGCAAATCAAGATAACGTTTCCAACGTACTTACGGGGCTCCTTCTTCTGCATGCATCTTCAATTTTTTTCAAAACGATTCTTAGGCCTTGTTTTACGTCTGCTTCTGTCATTTTCTTGATCATAACAGGTTAGAGTTAAACTCTCAATAAATATTTACTTTTTTTTCGATTTGGAGATGAATGATAGGTTCATTTATTCAGTGACACAGTGTTTACTTTCAGAGTTCAGATTGGGTAATATTTTTGTATTCATCATTTTTATTTTGGAGTTATTACCATATTGAAAGTGTCTAATATTCCGTTGTCGAGCTTGTATATTTATGATGGTCTATCAAATCCATAAGTATATTTCTATCGGTAATTCATGACCTACACTTCTTTGTTTCCCTTGTATCCGAAGAATTAGAAGAATTTGACATTTTAAATTACGAAGATTTTCAAGTTTTGCATGTAATTCCACGAGCTTCCATGAAATGTACTTGATGAAATTGAAAAAGTCCAACATGCGTGACATAAGCATTTTCTTTATTGCGATGACGAATAACAGTCGAGAAACCCGTGGGTTGGGCTACCTATCGGGCGCGTCCCTAGATGGCGTATATGGGAACGGCCAGGGGACTGGAGGCCCTGTGCGTGAAGTCAATGTGACCTTACATACGGAGTCGCCGGAGTCCTGGTCAGTGGCAGAATTAAATAGGGTGAAGGGAACTGAAACTCTCCAAAAGCCTTTACAAAACATGTCATCTTGGACCAGCCTACCCAAGCTAAGGTGTAAGGAGTCGGGCTGACAGCTGAATGGCCGCAGGGTGATATGCGGTCATGAACGATCCCCTTGGGGAACTGGGCGAAACCTCATTGTAATCAGCCCTCTTCTGGTCATGCGGGGCTCTGCCAGAGGTGACCAACTCTTTCCTGGCTACTCGTGGGAACACATGCATAAAACAACTGAAACAACAAAAACAAAAACCAATCCCGTGAATTAAGGCAAGGAATCAGCTGTCCCTGCAGGAAAGCTCCCTCACTTGTGCACCTCCACGGAGACAAACCCAAGAAGGTGGAAAAAGCCGCGCAACGACAGTAATATTGCTGCACCTTCTAAAACCTTCGCGGAGGCTACCGTGAGACACCTCAAGGTTGCCAAAGAAAGTGTGTGTTCGGCGAATCTTGGCCTGCACCTACCAATATTAAGAAGATGTCTTACCCTTACCCCCTCTACTCTACAGATACCAGAGAGACAATTGGGAAAATAGTGTGCTGTATTGTTGTATTTCATGAGTTTCATTTTAAGCAACACAAATGAAAAATCTACGGTACCGTACGCATAGACACGGCGAAAAAACTTCTGTAGTCAAACATGAAGTGGTTCAATTCAATAATTCTTCTATTCATCAGTAGATGGCAACGAAATTAAAGCGCAATTTGCAGCTTCAGCTAGTGCCTCATTTGTGGGAGAATTTACAGAAAATGGTCACTTTTAAAGTTAATTTTAAATTACAGAATATGATATATTTGAGTGTTGTTTTTAGAGAAACCCTTTTTTGAAGAGGAATGAGGAAGAATCTACTGGGTGAACAATAGACACAGGAAACAAGCAGTTTTCTAGTTATCATAGAAAGTAATTTGAATTGAATTTTTTGGTTTTACTTCTGCTTACTAGATGTCGCTGGCTGTGTTTCACTGCGAATATATTGAGAGAGGATATCCCCGTTTATAAAGTTTAGAGAGTAGGGGGTGAAGAAAAGGGTTTTGAGGCACTTCCACGTTATATTCGTATGATTTGATTATGATATCCTATTGCATTTGACTATTAATGTGTGAATTTCCATATAATTATGATATTACTCACTCTAATGGATTATTTGGCCTACAAGTTTCACTGCAAGATAGAAAAAAAAGAGTACCTACACATTTTTTTTGTATAATGCTTTGCTAGATTTCCTACGTGAAGAGTAATGATATCAACTTGCATAAAGATTGATTTATCGAATATTCGAACTGAGCAGAAACGTTGAAAAAGAAATTGTTTCGATTTAAAAAAGAAAGACAGGCTAAATATACATTTTTACAGCATTTCTAACGTATATTCTACTTCAACGGGATATACATACACAAATATTCATTTCAGAAAATAGTTTTTTCTTATCACTTCTAGCCGATGACGTTTAGCCAAATAAAGAGCAGTTTTTTCATAAACTAATGTTGGCACATGAATTTTTATACTTCGGATAACAAATCACCAAGAAATAATTCCATTTTTCGATTTACATAATACGAACAGTAAGTGGTTCAACAGATATTGCGTTTGTAGCGGAGCTTTATAATATAAATTCTAATAAATAACAATCAAGTCACCGTGATACAGAACATGCTATCTTTTATTATGAATTTATCATAGACCGGTTGTGCTCCCGCAGTCTTAGTCGTTTTGATAGGAATGTTGATAAGTCAACTATGAAGTCACTATTTGCTTATGGTCATCAGCTATTTAGCTAATATAGAATACTAGGTTAGAACGAATGATATACAGGACATTTCTTCAATTTCCTCCCCCTTTTATTTTTTTAACGGGTCAACTCAAAAAATTTAAATTTGGGATGATGAAATTAATGCATAAATAATTTTTTTGAAGTGAAATTGATAGATGAAACTTCCAAAATAGCGATTGGATGCCATCTGAGAAACAAAAATGGAAAAGGGGGTTTTGTGACACATCATTTTGAACGCTCCTGACAAATGCTTCACAACCCTACAATATAATGTCAAAATCTTCAACTGATACAAAATGATGGAACTTTTAATAATTGCCTAAATACATTGACATTCAATGAGGTAATAAGCTTGAGTTCAATACAGAAGATGCTCTAAATGGTTGCCTTGAACTTCATGACATATAAACAGCCTGTACGATATTTCACGTCGAACATTTTCGAACACAGTAACGTCAATATCTCTACAAATATTTATTATTCTCTGCGTATATCCAATATTGAAGGCATGTTCAGTTTCGTACACCTTTTGCTTCAAATAGTACCATTAAAAAAAGTCCAAAGGTGTCAAATCTGGCGAGCGGGCTGGCCATTCTGTAGGACCTCGACGGCTAATCCAACTACCGGGAAAGGTAGTATCCAAATAGTTTGTTACTTGTCTGGAGTAATGTGCTGGTGCTCCATCTTGTTGGAATACAATATCCATATCGAATTCCTTAGGATTCGCTTCGACGATTTCAGTGAAGAGAGGATCAACAGTAGTTTCCAGCATATTCCTACAATATGGTTTCCCAATATTCCTGTCCAAACGTTAATTTTTTATGGATATTGGATATGTGTTTTCCGAAAAACGTGAGGGTTGGTGTCACTCCAATAACGGCAACATTGCCGTTTAAAAAATGTACATTCGTCACTAACACAAATATTGTGGAGATAGGTAGCTTGGTATGGTATGGTTTCCGTCGTGATTTCGCAGAATTCTGTTCTTCGATCAGGGTCATCTTCAGTTAATTTTGTATGGTTTACACGTGTTCAACGATAATATTTATCAACACAACACCACTACAAAACACTACAGCAAAATAGCAAGAAGAATTTGAGGGACCACGTGGTTTGCCGAACGGAGACCACGTGTTTGCAGGCCTAGCCCTCAGTGAATGGATTCGATGTTACTCACTCCACAGTTGGCATCAGAAAGAACTCCTGTCTCTGGATTTCTCCTCAGGTGGCGACCCGGAAGTTCCGGTTAGACAACGCACATTTCGAGAATTCGACTATTCGATTTTCGAGTGTTCGATTACAGTGTTCGATTTGGATGACTGCTTGACAATAAAGAATTTACATGTTTTTATACTAAGCAGTTGTAGGAAAAGTCCCTACAGGATGATACCTATTCCTCTTCAGAAGTCTCCATACAATAGAAGGAGACACCTCACAAACATTCGCGACGGAATGAATAGACTCTTCAGGAAATTATTGAATGTTCCACAATTTTGTAGTAAGTGAAGATATTGACTTCATATTCCAAGGTTGTGAAGTATTCGTCAGGAGCTTCAAAATGATGTGTCACAAGCCCTCCCTTTCAATTTATTATTTTTTCCCAGATGGGACCCAGTCGCCATACTATATGCAAGGGAGTATTTTAAAAAACTAACGATTAGCCCTATAATTTTTATAATTATCGGAATAATTGATAAAGGACGACAGCCTTAGGATGAAGTTGAACATTCAGTGGTACCTACTTACATCTGGAGAAAATTTTACCAGAAAGTTGGACATGAATCTGTCGAAATCAACTATTAATCTCTAGTTATTCATTGATCTATCTTGGAGAATTTTCCATTTTGAACAGAATCAGATGTTTTTAAACCAAACGTAGGTTTCAAAGTGTATAAGAGTTTACAGCTGGGCATCTCAAATTCCGAGGGAAACTTACTAAAATGACTGGACTATTATCCTATGTCGCAGCTTTACAGCCTCCTCAGAATATGAATACAAATAAGAGTCATATAGCCCGAATATACACCGCAACCTCATTGTACAATAAATGGCAGCTATCAAAAATACGGCACATGAACACACATGATACATAAACACCCCTCTCGTTCTCCATATCGTCCAGAACCACCCCTAGGATTCGAACCATCACGGTTTCGAGCGAAAACCACCCCTAGAAAGTTCGGCAATACGGACTACCCCTCGACTGGGGTGTCGCGTACGAGCATAACAAAAGAACGTCGCTGACAATACCCCCGACGATTGACAGCCCTAAACTCATTATTGTAACAAAAGACTGTCATTGCCTGCATAAAAACCTCATTAAATTCGTTTTCCTGCGTTATGAGTTAATAACACGATACGTGCGGTCTGTTTTCCCGTAGGAAATTCGCTGTCGAATCTCATTACAATAAATCCATTTATCAGGATTACGGACGGGGTGTTATGGTGGCGTCCTTGTCGTTTCGGCGATTGGCGACAGAGACGTCGTTATGGCTATTATCGCTATTATTTTTGGTTGGAGTACAGAACAATAGTTTGTTCCGTGATTCAGGATTCGGAATGTTTACATGGAGCAAAGCATTTTTATCGGGTTTCAGGGAAAGTACAAAGTATTGAGCGAAAAAGTCAGATAATTGTGTTGAGTAAAGAGCTATATGTAATTTGTCGGTTCAACAACTCTGAACCTCAGATTCGGTGTCCCACATAGCTCCATACTAGGGCCACTTCTGTTTTCTTTATGTACCTCAACAATTCTGAAATCTCTTGAACATTGTACCGCTCAC